AGGAGGCTTGCAGTCAACTTCTCAGAGGAAATACTTTCAAAAGGAAAAGTTGAATTTTGCCAAGATTCAGATAAGGTCAGAGTGATTGGACAAACCAGAGCTTTGTAGGCTGGAGATGAACACAGCCTGCTCCCTGGGATTGTGCAAATGTGCTGGGAGAACACGAAAATGAAATGCAGGAGGATGCTCACATTTGCTGAAAATCTGAAGTTCTGTGTGTGTCTCTTGGCATATTGTCAAGTGTAGAATTGCATTTTAGAAGGGTGGGGGGTTTTTTACATTTTTAAAATACGTAAAATGTATTTATTCTTCCTGTTCTTGGTTTGCACTTTAATCCAACAGAAAATGGGTTCACTGAATTAATTTTAGTTGTTTTAACACTATATATTTATAAATTACTATAATAATTGGATTGCAATGTGATGCTAATTCACCATAGGTTTTACAAGTACATCTGTAGGAGGTTCTACTGGGCTTCCATACTCTTCTGTTGAGGGCCAGAGGGGGTTGTTTTCCAGCTGTACCCCACTACTGGCCAAGGGGATGGCCAAAGGACTACCCTGGCAGGTAGCAATCAGCATTAGTCTGCTGACATCAGCTGACCTTTACCAGTTTATACGTAAGGTCTGGACAGACATTTTCTCCTGTTCTCCCTTGGCTGCAGAACAGTAAAACCATTTCTTAATTTGCCTGAAGTGTTTTCTGTGCTAGTCTGTGCTCACTGGTTGCATGGCCTTTACAGGCTGAGAATGAAATAGGGTTTCTTCAGTGGGATAGCTTACACTTAAAACAGAGGAAAAAAGTGGGTTCTGCTAATTCTGTGGGTCAGCCAGCAAAAGGAAGGTTGCAGATCTCTTCCTTCAGTGATGGCACATGTGTAGTCTCTTCCCTCTGTCCTTCGTGTTAGACTTTCTTCCTCAGTCAGATCTTGTTAAGTTGGCCAGAAGATTAAAAATCATAGTTGGGAACTAAGGACCAGAAGGGCAGTGCAGTTGGATAGCCCTGATTCCTTAGGAAACGGAGCAGAGGGGGGTAAGGAGGACTGTGGGCAGGGACTTGTTAAGTTCCCCAGGTAGCTGTGGCCTTTGCTCAGGGGAGGCATACAGACTGTTTCATCTCTGCCAGGACTTTTGGCTAAAGAAAATGGGATATTTGGCTGAATAAGACCAAGTTTGGAATGGGAAGATTAAAGGAAAGGAGCCTGAATAGTCCAGTAAGATGGTCACTGGCCCTACTACAGTTAAGTATAAGGAACATACAAAATGCCCAATAAAATTGCTGGAGGGGGAGTAAAGAAGTCAGAAGTCTGAGTTACATCCAGGCGTGTGGATGGCGCTCTGGCATCCCTGTGTCAATGACAACCAGGAGAAGGGAGTGGGAGAGAGCAGCTGAAAAGCACCCATTTGTGAAGCACACAGCTTGTGTGGGCATCAGCATCCGGGCAGGAGTGCTGCATTTCAGGGAAATCTGCCAGGCAGGCAGAGCATTCCTTTTCCCTGCTCTGTCTTGTCCTTCCCACACACGAGCTTTGTCCTGGGCGTGAAGAGCTGCGGGAAGACAGCACTGTGTCTGTCAGCACAGGCAGGAGAGCCTGGTGCTGTGTGCAGGAGAGCCTGGTGCTGTGTGTGTGCAGGAGAGCCTGGCATTGGGTGCAGGAGAGCCTGGTGCTGTGTGCAGGAGAGCCTGGCATTGGGTGCAGGAGAGCCTGGTGCTGTGTGCAGGAGAGCCTGGTGCTGTGTGCAGGAGAGCCTGGCATTGGGTGCAGGAGAGCCTGGCATTGGGTGCAGGAGAGCCTGGTGCTGTTCGTTGCAGGAGACCTGGCGATAAAGGGTGCAGAGAGCCGTGCTGTGTCAGGAAACCGGTGCTGCTGTGTTGGCAGAGAGCCTGGCATATTGTGCGCAGAGCCGCCGTGTCAGGAGACCTGTGCGTTGACCAGAGCACCTGGCAAATTGGGTAGCTAGAGAGCCTCGCATTGGAATGCAGAGAGCCTGTGCTGTGGTGCTGCAGTGCAGACCGGGCGTGTGGTGCAGGAGAAGCCTGAGCCAACTGGTGTGCAGACAGACCTGGTGCTATGGTTGCCAGAGAGCCTGTGCTGGTTGGCAGAGAACCTCGGTGCTGTTGGCCAGGACGATCCTCTGTTGTGGTGCATGCAGGAAACTGCACTGGGTCAGGAAGAGCAGACTGGGGCAGAGAACCTGGTGCTGTGTGTGTGCAGGAGAACCTGGCGTTGGGTGCAGGAGAGCCTCAAACTGTCCAAACTCCACAACGACAACTCCAGAGCAGTGGTTTTCCAGCCTGTTTTGGATCTGAATAAGCGTCAGATGTGGACGGGTGTGTAGAGAGATGAAATCTCCTGCCAGTGGGTTTGTTTTTCTGCAGTTGTTCTGGCACCACGTGGAGGTACTTGTGAGCCCTGAGGCAGGAGCCCTCACCCACTTTTTGAGTGCTGCACCCCGGCCATCCCTTTCACCAGCAAACCTTAATGTCTCTTTGTGTGTTGGGTGGCCTAAAAGAAGTAGCTGCACAAAAAAAAAAGCCCTCCCAGCAAATACAAAAAAACCCAGCAGTGTTTCCCACTGCACTAATTTTAGTCAGAAATACTAAAACCCCCTCAAACTCGAGAGATTATTTAGGTTCCCCTAAATCAGTTTGAAATTACACTGTAACCACCAAGGGCAGTGGGGGTGGATTCACTGCCTGTGTGGGGCTGAGAAGAGCAAGGGCTCGAGCTCGGAGTTATGGTCCTACAGATCACAGTGCTACTGCATAAATAGTAACAATAATAGCAGTTATGAAGCAGTTTAGAGCTCCAGAACCTCTTACAAGGAAAATAAGAAGTGGTCACGTTTGAGGCTTTCTTCTGACTGGAGTCATACCACTCCTTGAAGGGCAAACTGTGTGTTTGGATTTGTCTGTGTGTTTGAGTGGGGAATGTAAAAATCTTGGCATGGTAATCTTATTTTGGTAATAGGATTGTGTGCAGACATCCTTGTGGCTTGTGGTTAAATTGAAAAAAAAAAAAAAGAAAAGCATTAGATTTCCTGTGAAGGGGTTGTTGTTTGCAAATGGAGTGAATAACAACTGCACTTACAACTGCATGATCTTGCTTATAACCCTCTAATGGAACTCCTTTAAAGTCTCTAGGGGTTTTTCCTGTGACATTTAATTTGATGTTGTAGTTTTGGGATTAGGATCAACTTGGAAAATTGAGGTTTTATTCTAATTCCTTTTTGGGTTTCTTGAGTCTCCCTCCAACTTAAGTCTTTCAGGTGCAAATTTCCCTTTCCAGAATTCATTGACAGAAAACATTTTTTTTTTTTTTTGTAATTTTAAAAAACTTGTTATATGGCAACCTTGAGATGGTATTTGATATCGGCTATTCCAAACAAAAAGTCTTTAAAATGTTTGATGTCCCCAGAGTGGAGGAACTGTTCTGTCCCCCTGTGCATGTGGCAAATGAGGACACAGATTAAGTGATTTAATAGCACCTGCAGACTCCCCCCCTTCACTGACCATCAGTCTCTTATGGGATTGGTGCAGTCAGGTTATTTAGGTGCACTTCTAGGTAAAGAAACACAGATCACAGTACCAGGAATGGATCCTTTAAATACACTGATTTACAAAGAAAGTTGGATTTTTTTTAATTTTGGGTTTTTTTCCCTGCACTGTTTTTTGTCCTTTCCTGGTTTGGCTTTCACAACAATGCAGAATTCGAGATTTTTCTTTCAGCCTTAAATGTCTGCAAACTCTGCCTGGAAAACAGGCAGGATTCTGAGCTTCCCAGCACGGCTGCTTTTTGACCAGAATCTGAGTGGAAAAATGTAACCTTTTCTAGTGCTCTCATGGTATGACCTCTGGAAACAGGGCGAAGTATTTAAGGCTTCCTGCTACATGTTAAAACCAAAAGAAAATGTTTCTTTTCTCCTGCTTCTAGCTGTCAGCCCTTTCCAGGGCTTTTGCTTGCCAGGGTTTTTCCTTTAACCCTTTTTTTATTTAAGCTCCTCCTTCCACCTTGGTCAGGTCAGTTTTTGAGCCGGGTCAGTTTTTTCTGTAGTGTTTTGTGCTTGCATTATTCAACATTTAGGTGACTGAACCTTCCAGCACGACTGCCTGCTGTGTGGTTGGTAAATGTGTGGGCAAGGAGGAGAGTTTGGCTGTTTACATACGATTATAAACTCACCTTTAAAAATCCTAGAAGGCCTTTTCAGCCAAGGAACTGATTCCTGTTTAGTTCAGAAGTTTGTTCACAAATTACTGGTGCAAACTGGTTGTGACTTAAGAGGAACTGTCCTGCTCTGCTTGCACTGGAGATCACCCCGCTGATGTTCCTCCTTCTGTGGGTATGTTCTAGTGAGGCACTAGTTTATTCTCCTGGGTGTTAAACCATTCATTTAAGTTTACCTGAGAGTGGAAAATGCAGCTTCTTCCTAACTGCATCTTCATCTCCTCACTTGGATGTGACTCAGTGGCATTTTAGGAACTTGAAGCAGCATTTCTGGGGGGTGCTTGGGCTTTTTTTTTTCTTCATCAGTTTTTACTTTAATGCTACTGTGTTTTCTCCCTTGTGGGTGATTTTAAATTGTTCCCCCCCTCCCGATAAATCCCATGAATACTGTAATATTTGAGAGCAGCTTGTAGTGACATCTAACATTTTGTTCTGTTTGTACTGCAGGCTGAGGTCAAGCAAACAAAGAAAGCAATCATTATGTTTTAGCATTCTTCTTTAATGAGCACATGAAAATCTGCTCACAGCTACAGTATCAGCTGTGAAGAGAAGGGAGAAACATTGAACTCCGAGTAGCACTGGTTTTTTGAAGCAATTTATGGAAAAATAATAGACTGAAGGGATACGTAAGGACTCTGGTAGGAAATAAATGGCACAGTGTTGTTGACGGAAAGGGGTTTGGCAGAGGGCTTGTTGTGACTGTTTCTGTGGCTTAGAAATGCAGAGGAATTTCCTACAGACTGGACTAACCATTAAAAAATGTCTCTGCTTTTAGGAGTTGAAAGCATACAGTGGAGTCTTCTCAGGGAAGATGTCGTCTTTGACAATGAAAACCTGTTGTCTGGACAAAAGAGGAAGTTTCTTTAAGGTAAATGGGATATTTATACAGAACTTAAAGTCCATGGGCTAGTGTGAAATGAGTGCTGCAGAATGTTCAGTGCTCTCTGTGATATGTAGCAAGCCTTTGCTGTAAAATGGGGAGTGCTTCTTGAACATCTCTTTTTTCACAGGTGGTGTTTGTGGCTGCCTTACCCCCCAGTTATTTCATGTGTATATTGTTTTCCTGTACACTGAATAGAATATTTGGTGTAAAATAGCTTGTGGCTTTCTTTGCCACTAATGCTGAGAACATAACCTTTATTATGCCCAGGAATAAAATTGTTAAGAGCTTTCATAAGGTGGATTTGTGTCATTTAAAGTTGTGGTACAGGTTTATGATTTCCATTATTGGATTGAAAGTTGGTTTCATTTCCTTGCCTATTTTGGGAAAACTTGGCATCCCAAAAAGCCGAGGTGCAGTGGGAGTTACCAGTGCAGTTTTCAAAGCACAACTGAATCCCATTAACTGTTGTATTTATGTGTAGTGGAGGAGGTCTGGAGGCAGTGCTGAGTTTAATTGTAGAGAACACTGCAAGGAAGATTTTCTTTCAGTGAAAAGGGATTAATTGATCTGAAGTACAGTTGTCAGAGCCTTCATGTGCCTGGTGTGAGTACAGCTGTGAACACCACGTGCTTCTAGAAAGCAGGACAGGGAAAAGAGTGTCCAGGCAGTGCCTCTGTATGGAAAGGATGCTGACCTGTCAAACTGTGGTGTCCTGCCACTGACCAGAAGTGTGTATCTTTCTGGCAAGTGCCAGAGTCACAGTGACTGTCTTGCTGGGCAAGGCTTTGCTTGAAGGAGCAGTCAAACTTTGTGGGTGTTTCTGAGCACTGAATTAACTTACCGTGATCCCATCCCTTGGAATATTCACTGCTTGCTGCAGCTTCTACCAGGGAAAGTGCAACACTTGCTGCCATCTCTGCACATCATTGTTTCCATTCCTTCTCTTCCTCTGGGACAGAAATACCCTTCTTTTGCTGCCTGAATCTGGCCCTAATGCTTGGGGGATGGGTGTTCCAGTAGGTGACAAATACACTCACAACAGGCTACAGGCAAAGGGGAGCCAAGCAAGTGGTGGCTGGTGCCTTTAGCCCATGGAGAGCTGTAATGAGTGTGCCAGGACCAGCTGTGGTGTCAGCAGCTTCACACCAGGACTGTGGCAGTGGCACACAAGCGCTGTTGAAGGGTTTGTTTCAGGTGCTACCTGCTGTCTGTAGCTTAAGCCAGTCTTTAGGGAGTGAACAACCAGCACTGCAGTGACAGTGTGTTTCCCTCTTTGGCTTGCCCAGGGCTTTGTGTGGTCAGCTATTAACAGGGTATTCCAGGGACAGGAACCACTTCTCAAGTTTTGCAACACACTTCAGCTACATCTCGTATCTCAGGACCACAAACATCAGCCTTGTTAATGGCAGTCCACAGCCATTTAGGGAGAAAAGCTGTATTTTTCAAATCATAGCAAGAAACTGTCTCAGTTCTGAGGAATATTTCTAGGTGGTCACTTATGTGTGTGCTGAAGGAATCCTCATGTCAGATGGGACTGTAAGCAAGTGTCCATGTTCTGCAGTCCTTTGCTATCTCCTTGTGCAATTCTCGTGTGCAAAACAGATGCTGGAACAGCTGTTTTGTTCATGCTGATGTGGTTGTGGTTACTCAGGATGATTAGGAATGCAGTCTGCCTGAGCAATTTCTAGACATGGCACTCTTAAGGCTGTAAGAAACATTGTCAGTTAAGAAACTAAGGTTGCCCTAAATTTTCCTGAGGGCAGGCTGGCTGGGGAAAAGATGCCTCAAAGCTGCTTTTTCAGAGCTCTCCCCATCCCTGGGAAGTTGCAATTGGGCCGTGGTTCCAAACCCACGGTGTCAGCCTGGAAACTGCAGGCAGTGAGTGTACCCAGCCTGTGTGCAGTGCACCCGGGGCCTTGGTGTGCCTACAGGGAAATTACCTCCCCCACGTAATCTAATTGTGACAACTTGTATTTGCTACAGCTGAAAGGGTGAGCAAACAAAATACTTGGCACATCAGATTTTTTCCAGTTTCCATTATTTTAATTTGCCTTGTCTGTGTGTTTAGGAGAACTAGTGATTCTGCTGTGGGATTTTAACCCTGCTGATGTGTAGTTTGGAATGCTCTCCTCACATGCACAGACTGTGTACTGTACTTCTGCAGGTGGCTCTCCTGCTGTGCTTTTGCTTTGCAGTTGCCTAAGAAACCTTTACCATGCTGGCATGCAGATTCTCAGGGCACTTAAATCCCCATAAAAAGGTGTCTTACTATTCTCAGCAACGTTTCCCAGAAAAATCACTGACAAATACCAGTGGGAAATTCCAACATTATGGTTTTTTTCTGGTTCTTAAGTAGTTCTCATTGCTGTAGCTTCTTACCATCTTTTAGTCTTTTCACGGACATTCCTTTGACTGTTGGTACACAAGGAAAACACTATTGTCCCCATTTTACACAGGGACACAGTATTGTCCCCATTTTACACAGGGACACAGTATTGTCCCCATTTTACACAGAGCAGAGGTCTGTAGTTTTAAGGCTAAATTCTGTGGACTCTTTGTGCCTCGCAGTTGATGAAGCTTAGAGCCAGCAAGTAGTAAAGATGAAGCAAGGATGGAGTTAGTCTTGGGTAATTCTGGGACTGCATAGCCTGCCAGTGGTTACAGAGGGAGTGTGCAGTAGAGCAAGGAACTGAATGTATATGTCTCTGAGAAATGTCCTCTTTACTGAAACATCCTCCTCGTGAAGATGTTCCAGTCTTTACTGAACCGGCTTCAGAGGTTTTACACTAATAAAGCTTTTCTGTTCCAAAACCAAGCATAGCGTAAAACTTTGTTGCTTACTGATGAATAAGACAGTGAACTGTGTCAATGGCCCTTAGAATTCACAGCTCACTGTGCAAAACAAGCAGAATTTGCAGCCGTGTATCAAACTACTCGATTGTACTCAGCCGTTCGCACAAGTCCGGGAGCAGCGTTCCCAGCCGGGCTCATCCCTGGCACTCGGCCACCTCGTCACACAGGGTGCTCTGTCAGGGTTGCTACGTTCTGCTTATCAAAACAGGAAGGAAAAGATGTGGTGCCAAAGAGGATGCAGGTCCACAGAAAGAATGAAAAATGAGCTGCTGGCAGGAAGGGGGGGTGGTGAGCGGCGAGGCTCATTTGTCCGGTCTGATCTTGCTCTTTCAGCCCGGGGGGCCTTGCCAGATTGGAAGCACCGACCTTACCTTTTCCTCTTCTGCTGTTGTAAATCTCAGGGCTTGGAAACATTCTGCAGTGGTCTGCTGGGCTGCCTCCTCCTTGGCTGCCAGAGCTGGCAGTTTTGTTAGTTCCCTGTACAGGCTTATTTGGCATTTCGACACAAAAAACAGGAATTCAGTTGTCGTGCAATTTTTTTCTAAAAATGTCCTAAGACAGACATCAAATCAAAGCCACCTGTCCTCTTCTTGGGAACAGGAAGCTCTTCATCAGTTGAGTGAGTAAGAAGACCTATAGTTAGGCTGTGCTTCTGGGAGAGGCACTGGCTGTGTCTGGCTGTGTGTGTCAGCAGAGCAGCTTCCCAAAGGTGACTGTGGCCCCTGGGCAGTGTGTTGCTTGTGGTGAACACACCCGCTCTTGCTTTTGCTGCTTATAAGACATGCTGAAAGATGCCAACCAAAACTGGCCTGTGGGTTGTGGTGGCAGAGCACTGGGCTGCTGGAGTGCCATGCTTGTGGGCTGGGTGTAGGAGTGTTACCCCCCCAGCTTCCAAAAGCTGAGCTCAGTCTCCCTGAACCAAGAATCAATTGACAATATGCAGAGTGTGGCACGTTATGAAAGGAAATGTTGTGGTGTAAGATGTTTGCATTTCATTATTTCTTTGATGGGTATCAGGCATGTAAACAGTCCATGGTATTTGGCAATGTAATGTTTAGGATAGTTTGCTTAGGGAATACTGTGCTGGGCTGCTGTGGGAGTTCATGCTGTCTGAGTCATAATTAGTCTTTGGGTTCACAGTGGTTACATTGTAGTTTCTTTTTAACCTACGGAACAGTGCTTTATCAGAAATAAATTCCAAAGGAAAATCATTAGACTCAAAAATGGCTATTTTATCATATTATGTAAGGTGTCGTTTTAGTTTTGGGGGTTTTTTTAACCACCTGAGAAGATGTCATACTTCCAAACGCATTTCTTTTCAAGTAAACCTCCTCTTTCTGTAGTATAGCAGGGTAGTATCTATTTCATAGTCCTAAATAGGCTGCAACAGATTTCTCCTGATTACTTTTTAAGTCTTTGGGTTCATGTATGCTATTTTACATTAACAGTGGCCCCTGGCAAATGTATCCATCCACTTCAGTTGTATTTTCCTTTGGAAACTGCCTCTTACCATCTTGGTTTCCATTCTATTGAAACAAATGGGTGAGTTTTCCAATTATTTCCAGCCAAATAGGTGTCACACTCTTTGCAAATAGAGAAATCCGTTTGAGGAATTCCAATTGCACTTAAAAAGGCAGAGCCCTTTGCTGCTGCTTGTTTGCTCAGGGTCGAAGCTAATAATAGTCCATAGCCAGGATTCTTCCTGCATTTTGCAGAAACCTGTTATTAACAGCTCACCTTGTCTGATGCTCATCATGTGTCCATCACAGGTGCTGCATAATCACCAGACCTTTCATTGGTCCTGAATACTTGGGAGGTGATGTCATAAAATCATGAGTGCACCCTGTGTTATTTGATAGAAAATGGTCTGTCAGGTGCTGTGGTGACAGTATGTGTCAGTTAACTGCAAGGATACCCAAATGATTCAACTCCATAAGACCTTTGTTCTTTTTTTTTTTTTTAAATTGAGAGTAACCTTTTTTACCATAAAGAAAATTTAAGGAAAATCAGTTGCAATTTGCAGAAAATATTGGTGGATTATTTTAGAAAAAAAACAGGGGGGTTATTCCTAAGGATAAATGGTTTTTTTGAGGTGAGGTACAGGGTGGGTTGCAGAGTGTGTTCTGTTTGGTTTGATGCCACACTTTACCTGGTTTCCTTGTCCAGGATGTACTGACCTCTCATAGACTGAGGAAAGACTGCCTTGTCCTGGAGGATATGTAGTATACCCCAGAAATCTGCCCTGTGGAATAGAATGTGAGCATAAGGCTCCTTGAAATGTGCCATTTTGTTTGTGTTCTCTTTAGATAAAGTGAAATTGCTGAACATGGAAAAACTCCCCTCAGGAATGATAATTTCTCTTCAAGGCAGGCATACAAATTAAAAAGTGTTCAGATTACTTTGCCCTTAGTACAGTTTGGATTTGAGTTCCTTGCTGTAGTGCCCAGAGATTCTGTTTTCTGGGAGGGAGATTTTGGTTTTTATTTTGGTTGGTTGGTGTTTTTTGGGAGGGTTTGGGGTTTTTTGCAGCTCTCATCAAAGCCCATTAATTCAGTTAAGTGAGTTAACAGCCAGATGGCGACAGAGCAGGTCATTCCTTTCAGTGGTTCAAGCAGTAACCAGGTATTTTAAAGCTCTGAAATGAAAAGCTTCAGCAGAACCAGAAAGGGAAGAAGGCTCCAAAAGCTGTAGAGACAGAGTGAGGATTGCATCAGCAGTGTCTTATTTAGTAGTAACAACTGGTATGGTTGTCTCACTACCTCACTGCACTCAGCAAACCTCATAAGGAATGAACACTGGGGAAATTTAGCAGGTACCTGAGACTGAATAGTTTTTGCTTGTGTTTTGACATTGGAACAACTTCTTTTTAACTAATAAAGCCCTTTTCCTTTGTGTTCTGCCATCAGTTATGAAATGTGATTTTAATCCAGGGATAGGAAATCCTAATATAAGTAACTGATAGGCTGTAATTAAACCTGGAATGGATTTTTTTCACAAAGGTGTGCTCTTATTTTTTCCAAATACTTGTCACATTCTTTATTTAAAAGTGACAAATCGTATATTTCTTTCTGAACGTGTATTTATTAGCATTTTTGACTTGCATTTTGTATGTTTTCATACAAATAACAAGAAATCCGTTGTGTCAGTATTTTAGAATGCCATTAGTTATTTAAAACTAGCTCTAAGAAAGTACATTCAGAAGGTACAGCTACTGAAATAGTTTGAGTGATTGTTGTATCTAGAGGCTGTAATGGATTGCTCATCAGAGATTTAGGCCCAATAGGTTCCTGGGGGTGTGCTGGCTCTGGCAGGATGGTGTGGGTTCTTCCCTCTGCCATGCTCAGGAAGGCATTGCTCACGTCTGGCTGCAGTGACCCAGGGCTGTTTAAGAGTCAGCAGGGGGAAGGTCTTTGCAATGCCAGTGGTACAGAACATCTGGGAGCTGTGACACAAACAGCATAATGGTAATGCACTCTCACTTAAGGTTGGCCAGCTGTAAGCAGAGACTAAAATTTCCTTTAAATTGATTGGAATAATGCTGCACAGCAAAGGAGAGAGTGAATTCCTTCCAGTAGAACAGTACAGGGGAATGATGCCCACAATGCTTTGACAACGCTGCTGTGCTGAGCTGCCTGCCCTGAGCGGGACTCGGGGTCATGTCTACTGAGCGACTGTGAAGACTGTTCTGACTTGGACTGGGAAGCTGTGTTTGCCTCAGTACTGGTGTTTTTGTTTGCTCTGTGGTTCAGGGATGGTGGCAGAGATCACTGCATCGCTGCAAACCTTCTCATCAGCTTCTCTCCAGGCAGGAGGGAGGGGACACTGCCAGGGTTTGTGTGCTGCCATGGTGCGGTGTGACAAGCAAACTTGATGCACTGGCTGCAAAGAGTGTTCCAGACAGCATGGCTTGCAAACTTCATAGTTGGTTTCTGCTCAGCAAAACGTTCCCCAGAACTCTGGCTAGCAAATTCTTCATTTCTCGGGATACAGCCCTCGTGCTAACCTTGCCCACATTAAAATGAGTTTTTGCCCTCATGCCCAGAAGTAGGATGGTGTTCCACCTGAGCTGAACTGTTACGAGGCAGTTCCTTTTAACTGAATTGTTCTGTTCAAGTGGAATCCAGAACCTAACGTGAAAAGCAGCTCCTCATTCCTTTCTTGCTTCGTTGCTTTTCATCCTCCACGGTGTCATCATGCTGGCTCAGTGCCCCTTCTGCAGTCAAACTCTTGCTGATGGAACTGTTCTAAATATATTTTTTCTTTTTATTTGAGAAAGTAAATGCTACAAACAGTTGAATAATTTAGTTCTTGTAAGCTGTTGTATAATATGTAGAGGCTGCAAATTGAATACATTTAAATAAAAAGGCTAGCCAACCTGGAAGGTGTTGTACTGGCACAGAACAGGAATTACTCTTCCTCTGAGAACCATTATAAGTGACCCCAACCCTTACTTTTTCCTTTGCAAGGGGAAGTCCAAATAGGATGCGATTTTGAAAAAAAAAACCAACAAACAGTTTGTAATCTCTGGTGACTAAACTTGCCCAGGCTTCTTTTCCACGCCTCTTCCACTCACTTGATGTCATCCTATTTTTGTCCCTTTCTAGCTCATTGACACAATTGCCTCAGAAATCGGAGAACTGAAACAGGAGATGGTACAGACAGATCTCACACTGGAAGATGAATCTGCTGATTTGCGAAGGTGATTAAAATGTTTATTTTCATGGTTCCTGGAGCTCTACTGTGACAGGAATGTTTTCATTGCACTGTCTTCTTGGGTGGCTCATGTCCTTCCACTGTTCTTCCGAGCAGCACAGGGGGTGTGGGTAATCTTGCTCTTGATCCAGGGAATTTGCCTTTGTGCAGGAGTGCCCAGACATTCAGTTTTCTGTGTATTTGCCTTAATATCTTCTAATAGCAACTGAGCTTCGCTTCTACTTCCTTGTTAAACCTTGGATAGGGATGAATGTCTGAAGCAGGAAACTTCTAACATCATTCCCATTGTCTGTGGCAGAGCTTTGCTTTCCCGCTGTAAAGACAAAATGTGCATGGCTTCCAGTGGCTCTGTGAAGATTCAACACACTGTAATATATGATTTATTTATGTTCCTGGGTTAGAAAGTAAAATATTGACTGTTATGAGCTAATACATATGTGGGATATGTGTTTAATTTATGTGTGAGTAACTTGCACGTGAAAAAAAAGTAAAATAGGTGGGGCATTTCCTTAAGATGATTTGAGATACATATTACAGTGCAGATAACATTTCTGGCTTTTTCAAACTGATCATACCACGTAGATGTGGACTGTGAAAATTTGTCATGGTACCTTGAAGTGGGCAGATCTTGGATTTGCTGTGGCTGATGTGCCTGACTGGTAACATGTGCTGAATTGGCATCTGGAGGGTAATCAACATTTTAATAATTGTTTTAACGAAAGTACAAAAATGTATCCTTGTCTGGAATATTTCTTGCAAGAGTAAAGCAACCAGTGTAGGTGTTGTGTTTTATCTGATTGCATGCTCTGGGCCAGCTCTGGAGCTGGTGGGCTTTGTTCTTCTAGCAGTGAGTAATGAAGTGGGTAATTGTTTGTAATTTAGAATTCCATCCAAGCTTTTTAGCTTTTTTTTCTTTCTATGAATTCTGTTGAAATCTGCTAGAACTTACTGCAAAGTATATGTAAATTATTGGCATAAAACACTGTTGCCCAAGTGGTAAAGAACAGGTGACCTAATTAAACTCCTTGGCTATGGCCCTGGTTGCACATTATTCAAGTTTTAAAGCTTTTGAGAGTACAGTTCCTTACAGTGGCAGAAAGGATACTTTCTTCATTTTGGTGGGCTCAACTAATTAATTTCAGCGATCATCAGCTAATTTTCATTTAAGAAAAGGCTTATTGTATCTTTGAGAACACCCATATGCATGAAAGCCTAAAGATCTACTGGTAAAATCTTGGTGGAAGCACTTACCTGGAAGCAGTCAACTTTTTTACTGATTTTTTTAAATGGATTTTTAAGCTGAATTTGTTAATCTTGAGTGCAAAATGATAAAAATATGTAAGTAAAGCTAACATAAAAAAGTGAATAATGCAATTTCCAGGACTGTGTAACCGAAGTCAATTTCATACTGAAATAATAACCACCAAAAAAAAATTCATTCTTTTCTGTCACTTTGAGGTGATAAATGTAAAATATGAAATCTGAATAAGTGAGCTAATGCCAAATTTTCTATGACTATGTAATTCTGCACTGTGTGCTTCTATGTAAGGAAGAACCTGTATCAAAGTTTTATAGTTCAGTTGTGTTTATATAGAGCTACAGAGCAAGGTTACAGTAATTTCAACTAAGGTTTTCCAGAGCTCTTGTTTAAACTTTGCAAGGCTGTGTTTAGTCATAACTTTATTTCTTTGTAGTTACTTTAAAACTTGGTAATTAATGTAGTTTGCTCTCTTTATTGTGTGTTCTGCCATTCAGAAGCTGGTCTCTTGATATGACCTTTGGATTTGCATCTAGAGAAATGCGAGCTAAATTTTTTCCAACTCGTTTTTTCACCTTACCAGATATCCACAGACACACAGGGCAGTTTTAAAAAAGGCTCTCGACTGGGTTCAAAAAAATAACTGCCTGAAATTGTGTGCCTGCAACTTCAGTGTTGTGGTGTGGGGTTTTTTGTGGTTATGTGGCAACTTTCAGATTTATACTCCTCCCCACAGTTCTGTTTTGGGCTTATCTCCCCTTTTAGCATATATGGCCCAAGTAATAATGAGAGTGATTCAAGGCTCCACAACTTTGGCTTGTAAGCATGTAAAAGCCAGACAACAACAAAGACTTGCCAAACTGTGTTTTAAGGGGGATGCTCACGCTGTGTTTCAATATTCCACCGTGTTGGATGCCAGGACTTTCTCCCAGCACAGACATTTGTCTCGGTAACGCCCAGGAGTGGAGTTGTCAGAGAAGGGCACTGATGGGGCTGGTCTCTGTCCCGTGCTGTGCTGGTGACCTTTCAAAGAGTAACAGGAGAGCTGCTGCGTGCAGTGGCAACCCAGGAGCACGTGTGGTGACGGGTGGCACTGGATGATGTTTTGGGAGGCGCTGGGTCTCCCTCGGGGGCCCGGCCCACGGGACCCCCGCGTGTCTGTTCTCGTGGATGTCCGTGAGGGGACAGCGCTCGCTGCCGTCCCTCTGGAGGGAAGGCTGGAAAGCTCCAGGCTCCCCAGGGCCTTTGGTGCCTGTGAAGGGGTACAGGGATGCTTTGGTGGTGTGGCAGCTGCAGCAGCTTATTCCCTTCCTGCTCTGTTACCGGGACAGAAGAAGGGCAGAGCTTTGCTCCCTCCCTCCCGTCTGGCGCTGCCCGGCCCTCACGCCTGTGTCCTTCCCACAGCAGTTACTGCACTGCAGTCGGCTCCTGTGTCCTGCACAGTGAGTTGCTTCTGTTATTGTAGACAGATAGGCAATTATCCAACAACCTTTCTTCCCTCAGCTTTCAGCTGTGATGGGGTGCAGGAGGAAAGGACAGGCTGGCTGCTGAGGAGGGCAGGGAATGTTCAGCAGAGGCTTAAGGCCCCCCCAGTCGATGCTCAGAATGACTGTGTAGGCCAGACTGGTGTGACTAAGACCTGTTAGACTGCAGAATTTACACAAATGCAGGCACTTGAGCAGTGGGGAGTCAAACTGGGTTGACTCTGGGGTGGTTAACTTTGGTGTGACTGGAGCAAGGATCATCCTGGTTACAGGCTTCAACCTGTTCCTTGTCTTTTACACTGTGAGCTCAGTCTAATCAGGATGCAGCACAGCACTGTTTATCTTGGCAGTTACCTCTGTTTACTTCCCACATGCTTGTGGGTTTTCTCAAGTCTAAGGAAACTTGCGTGAATCATGTGTTTTCTTCAGTTCATTGTGAGTTGTGTTGAAACTGCTTTCCCACTGAAGAGGAACCAGTGGAGCACCCCTGCATCAAAGCAGACCATCCGTGATTTGTGTTTCGATTTTGAGTTTAGTGTGACCTAGTCAGATTGTCTTTTACCAGGAGTCTCTGTAAAAAAAAAACCCAACAAATGCACAAACCAACCAACCAACCAACCTTCCCCCAACCCAAAAATAAAGCAGGAGAGGAATTTAGGTGTTGTGTAATATACAGCATGTTTTGCTAGCATTTAGGTTACAGCAACTCCTTATTCTGTACACTTGAATTAATCAGTGGCTCATGAGGAATTCAAATGATCGTTCTTTCCATGCAATTGTTTCCAAAGTAGTTACACACACATCCCAGTCTCAAATAATTTTACAGTCTAAGTCTAAGACAAGACAGATTTCAAGAACTGCCATGTGTCAGGGTTTGACTGTATGTCTAATGCCCAGATCGTTAATTAAAAAGAAGTTAAGAATAAAAACCAAACGGGAACATGATGCTCAGGAGTGCCAGACTGCTGTAATAGGCTGTCAAAACACACCAGTGGGCTTTTGACTGTGCTTGCTCCTGGACCTGGGGAAGCAGCTGCTCGGAGGTTGTATGTGGTTTGTCACATGTGGTTTTTCTAAGCTGTGCTCTTTCCAGAGTTCACCAGGTCTGATCTTTCTCTCTGCCTCCTTCTTTTTTATTTGGGAATAGGAAATAATTTTTATTAAGTGTTGCTTGTTCCTGTTTACCACCCTGCAGATTGCAGTAACATACTAGTGCTGATCTAGCTGGGTTGCATTAGGGTTGTTTGAACCATCACTGTTTAGGAGTGGCAGAAATTCTTCTCATGATCAGATACCCATAATCTTTGGCTTATTTCTTGAGGGGGCAGAAGCAGCTGCAACAAGGAGGTGCCTGTGTATCTAGGTCAGAGAGTTTCCTCCTTGGCTCTCAGCATGTGGAAGGGATTGTGCATGTAAGTACCTGGGGGTTCCAAAAACCTGACAGCTCCCTATTCAGATAAATCTTCTGCTTTATAATGGTTTAGGAGGGGGGGTGTGAGAACACTGAGCCAGTCATACCAAAGGGGAACATTGTGGCCCTACATATCTGTGAAAACTCTAGCCAGCTTTAGGTGGTTTTGTGGTAGCAAGCAAAGCCAGGCATTCTGGGTTATACCAGCTGGCATCTTCTTTTGCATGTGCTGTAGCTTTCTTCAGCAGGCAAAAAACTTTTCCCTCTTGGACATGTTCCCTCTGCAGCATGTTTAGCTTTCACCTCCTGACCAAGGAATGGAAATCATTTCTATCCAGTTAAGCTTGCAGCCAGTGTTGGTGCATAGCTTGCACTTTGCCACAGCTCCCTTCAGTTTGTGAAGCAGCTTACTGGCACTGAGGGTGAGTGGAAAGTGTCTGAGCAATATTTACTGGAGATACAGCTTGTGAAAACACTTTTGTGGTTCATGGTCTGACTTCTGTGGAGATTCACACATTACCACACCAGGTTCTCGTTGAAGGGGCAGCCCAGGATTCCTGCTGGGAAGGTTTCAGAGCCCTGTCATGACTGATGTAAGCAGCACTTCCCCTCTGCACACAGGGTGTTTCTGTGTGTTTTGTGCCCCTTGAAGGCGTACTGGCAGTTACTAAAAGCTTCTGACTCTTGTGGACTGGGGAAGATCATTGCATTTTAGATGCCTTGCAGATCTGGACAACATCACACCATAAATAAGCAAACAGAAAGAGGACAAAAGAAAGGGAGGCAGAGGCTGGTGGTGGTAATTGATCCAGGTAATGAAAAGTCAAATGATTGTGCCCGTTCTCCTCTGCTAATACAGTGAAAGTTCTCTACCCCATTTACTTTCCTTTCTAGCCCTATCCAGAGATGCTGCAAGTTGCTGACCAAAGCTAGAAGGAAGCAGTTTGGTGGTTTGGGGTTTTTTCTTGTTTAGCTCGTAGGGTTTAATTTGGTTTGGTTTCTTTGGTATGGTTTTTAGAGGTTTTTGGGGGGGCTGGGTGGGCTTTTTGTTTGTTCCTTTTTAAGTATTCAGTGTTCCTGTGCTTGTGAACTCTGTACCCACTTTAGCTGGGTGCAGCAGCTGGCAGAATGCAGCTGGTAAATGCTGTCAGTGGTGCTTAGGGCCTGTCCAAAGCACGAGGTTCAGAAGAGTTGCAAAAAGCAGTCTGCAGTGGGGAAATGGAGCTGCATTGCCCTCTGCTGTGCAGGGCCTCTCCTGCTGTCAGGAAAGGTCTGTAGGGACCACACAGCCCTTCTGCCTGACATCTCAGGGAGTCACCTTCGGGCTTGCAGGCTGGTTTGGGGCCATTCCTAAATATTGTCGTCAGGAAGGTGTTACTGAGTAACTGTGCTGGGGTGATTTCCAGCACTGGCAGAATCACAGGATGTACTTCCAGCTCAGAAATGAGGAATTTGAACCAGCAACACACATGCAGTTTTATTGGGTGTACATGAATGTACTACATTTCTGTGCTACGTGAATGATGATGAAGCTTTGCACGATGAAAGGAGTTCTCAAAGTATTCTGTTAATCTGGATTTTTAATAACAAGTATCTGTAGCCTTGAAGAAATGTACTTCATTACTGAATGTAGCAGTAACTTTAGATGCCCTGCTGCAAATAAATTTTAACCTTAGATTACTTTGCCACGTTCACACTTAGCTTAGCCTTTATTTCTTATGGGGTCAATCTGGAGCCAAAGGAATTAGAAGCATAAATAAACTTCCTTACTTGTTTCTGGTCCTGGGAAGTGTATTTCTAAAATGTGAGGTAAGGACCTTTCATGGCAAAATGTAAATATTTACAAATTTTAGCATGAAGACCGTAAAAAGTAACTGCCACTTACAACGATTTCCTAATGAAGCTGTGCCTTAGGGAGGGTTATTGGGGGGATTTAACATTTTTCTTGTCTCCTTGTCTTGCTCATCTCTTTCTTGCCTCCTCCCCCTGTCTCTCTTTTCTCCTGACTGTGGTCTCTGACCACTCTTTAGCAGAGGGGATCAAGATGGATATGCAGCTGTGGAGGCAGCAGAGCTGCTGGAGCAGAGACAGTGGTCTGGGGATAAGATGAAGTGCTCTGGTTTGTGGGCTTGTGTTGGGAAAATAATCCCTCCAAACAAATGGCCTAAGTGCTTGTGTCTGGTGCAGTGACCAACAGGTAGTGGGCTCCTCCACTGTCAGAGGATTGAACAGGTTTTTCTGGCAGGCAGGAGAGAGGAAGATTTCTGTAGGTTGCAGCATTTGCAATCCATGTGGGAATAAAAGTATCTGACTCGCATGAATGCCCTCGAAGAGAAGTTTTTCCGAATGTTAGCATAGCAAAGAAGGTGAGTGCAATGTTCAGTCACATATGCACATACAACCGTATCTGAAGTGATTGCTGAATTTCTGAAACCTCATGGGAGAATGCTAAGGCTTATCTTAAAGTTGGCTTTGAATTGATACACAAAAATTCTCTTTATAGGTTATCTAAATATAAGAACTCTGAGTAGGAGAAATACCAGTCTAGAGTGCCAGCAGTGCCATTAGATTTGCAATAATTCAGTTTGCTGAACTGAATGATTGTTCACAGGAGGTTAGCATATCTAATTAATTTTTCTTTAAATTTTCCACAGTCTAATAAAGGACATGGATAATGTCTCTCCTGAGAAAAATGATGTAAAAAACTGTCCCCGGGACTCTGGATATGACAGCCTATCCAACAAGCTGAGCATATTGGACAAGCTCCTCCACACTCACCCTGTGTGGCTGCAGCTGGGTCTGAATGATGCTGAAGCCATGGAAATTCTTCAGGCCCAGCCTCCTGGGGTAAGAGGTTACACTTCCAGTTCTTTGAGTGTGGAATAAAAAAAAAGATCAATCCAAACCCTAAACAAAACCCTAAGAAACAAGCCTTGGCACTGGTTGTGTGTCCAGCTGGAGAGCTCAGAGAAGAGCACAGTGGACTCGGTGTGGTGCCCCTGATGTCCAAGGAGGAGCTGGTTTCTCTGAGTGTTCTGCTGCCCTGTTCCACTCAGGTGTTGGACCTGGGACAGCCACGCCCAAGTGAAACTCCGTTATGTTTTACGGAGATCAGACATCAGGAGGTTGTTGTGGTTCCTTTTGTCTATAGCCTGTCTCCATAACAGCATCTGTGATGAGGCTGAAACCATGTCCTTTTGCCTTCTGCACAACAGATATTTCTGGTTAGGAAATCTGCGAGACTGCAGAAGAAAGTCATCTCTCTGCGTCTGCCCAGCGACTGTGGGTCCTGCCTGAGAGAATTTGCCATCAAAGAAAGTACATACAGTAAGTTGGGAGTTACACACTCTTCAGTTGTTCCATTCCTTTCCCTGTGTGGTGCAGGAGCACTTGCACTGGTGGAACACACGGCAGAAGACACCCAAAGTCACACAGATAATGTTGTGGGCTGCACAGAGTGCTGTCTGAGGCGGCTCTGGGAGTGGCTGGGGTATGCCCTGGACGAGGAGAGAGACATAGAAACACTTCAGTCTGTGCTGGCACTGGAATGTTTCCATTGTGTACCTTGCTGAATCCAGGAGTCATTCATTTTTATGGGTAGTTCTCCTCTGTAGAGACTTACATACCTTCTGTAGGAACACAGTCTCTAATCCTGTCTGCTGTCACTGAAATGTGCTTGTGTTTCCTTGTACTCAGGGGACTGTTCTTGGATGCAACTTTGTCATGAGCTCTCTGTATCTACAAATTTGGGTGTGGGGTGGTCTTTTTTGTTTGTGTTTTGTTGTTTGCTTGCTTTGTTTTTAATGTCATGTTTTCAAAGGGTTAAAATCCATCTAGCTGTTTCTGTTGCAAGATCAATGTTTCTCTTTTTTGATTCCATCTATATATGTCTTTTTTAGTGGAAATGAGTAAATGTTAGCACTCCAAATGGTTTTGAATCAATAATACCCTCATATCTTTAGAAGGAGGGTGTGAAAAACACATTTGAGATTTAGGAATGAAAAAAGGAGGCTGCAGCTGGTGAGCGTATGTGGTGCAGAAACTGCAAGTGGAACAAGTGTTTCATTTTAACAAGAAAGTGAAAACTGGAGAAAATTTGCAACCATTTCAGTTAAACTTCCCTGAAACAGGGGGTCTGTAGTTCTGTTTCTCTTAGTAAACTGACAAAATTTGAGTTGAGTTTTTCCTTTTTCATCTCTCCCTTCCCTGCTCCCAGCAACAGTTCTGTGTGTCTGGTTTTGGTTCCAGAAACAAGGCAAGCAAAGAGAAGAGAAAGTTATCAACAAGAGTTGATCTAAGTGTGATCTGAGGCTGTGTTTGTAGGCCTGTTATACTAATGAATTCCCTCTCTCCCATCTAGAAAATGAAATAATAATATGTTGTCATTTATGAATAAAATTTTTCCACAAGGGGGAAGTATCTACTGAAAGTTTTACTCACCCATCACAGCTGAGGTTTTAACTGTAGTTGGGGATCTGAACACCTTCCTTCTCTGATCCCACTCCCAGCTCCCCTGTGTGCTTACTGTCTGCATTGTTAGTGTCTCTCTTAAAGAAATCAATTTTTCTGGACACATAAATGACCAGGTTGACCTGTATTTTGGTGTAACAGTTGGAGAAAAGGTTGGTACCTGGCTTAAATTTTCCTCTGGTTCCTGAGGAGACTTTCTAGTCAGTAGCACTAGAACCTTGGTGTGGAGGAGCTGGCTTTACAGCAGGGAGTACTGACCAAATTCTGGGTTTGCTGCTCACTGAGAGGTCTTGCTGAGGTATCCAAAGCTGCTGCCTGGCTTTTGGCTTTCCCCAGCGAGCCTGGGAGTCACACTTCATCTGTTTCACAGGAATTAGATCTCATGCTTGGAATACAAAAGCAAACTGTCCACAAAGATTATCAGTATGTCCTTAAAAATGCCTTCAGCAGAGACATGTGCTCCTCCACAGAGTTGTTTTTTCTTAACCAAAGAAAACTTAGCTAGTTTAATAGGGAAAACTTATTAACTTTGTGCAAAAATATGAAATGTGTTTTATTTAACTTTTCTGAGAAATGGTGGATTATTGTGTGATTCTCCCTCTCTTGTGACTTTCTTTGCAGCATTTTCCTTGGAGGGGTCTGGAATAAGTTTTGCTGATTTATTCAGACTCATTGCTTTCTACTGTATTAGCAGGTAAGGTGGTGTTATGTTCTCAGTTATGTCTGCTGGACTTTCTTGAAGAAGAGAGTCTCAAGGACTTGGTTCAGCTTGATATTTATGTTGCCAGTTACAGATATCCCTGGGTAGTCTTAGAAGGTAATGGAAGAAATAAGAGGTGAGACTTGGAAGGAAGTGTCTCTGTCTTACCTGGTGCTGATTACTGGGAGGCTGCTGTGGTGTCACCCACCCAGCTGTGAGGTGGTGCCACGTTGAACTCTATCTGATATCTTGTAATACTTTTTTAAGTGCTCTGTAACTCATTTAATAGCAACTATAAACTAGCTTGCAATGGCATTTTCTTGGAATTGCTAGTTAAAAGAATTTTTGGAGCATAATGGAAAAATGCCAGATCACACTGAGATGTGAATTTGAATTGGGAACAACCAAAATGGCCTCATCAGTTTTCCAGTTTATGATTGCCAAACTTGTTTTCCAGGTAGTATGAAGAGAAAAAATGGCCAGTTTTTATGAGGAGTCAGGGTTTACCTATCTTTGAGTTGAGACCATGATGATGATCTAGACTCTAGATTTTCTGTGGTGCAGTGTTGAGTGTGTGTTCAAATATGCTTGATTTGAGTTTGAGTGGTGTTCTGAGATCCTGTTTTTCCAACAAGTTAATGTACAACATAGAGAATATTTATGTGATAAAGCCTCGCTGTCTGTCTGTGCTACAGCAGATGGTTGGCTTGTTCACAGCCTTAAAACCAAAATTCATGCTGACACTAGTTGTATGTAGCATTTCCGTGCTCCATTCGTTCTCATTTTGTCTTCATTATGTAGGTACTTCTAGTAGAGGTTTTGCAGTTTAGCCTGCACTGCTCGAGGGTGTATTGGTACCAGCTGGGTAGGCAAGAGGTGTAGTATTGTTTGATGGTAGTGATTGTACAGTGTACATATGGTTAAGTGGTTTTGTCTCTTAAAATCTCTGTCTAAAAGCCTTTTACACTGGTTTTGGCTTCTGTTGTTCCTCATGGATCTCCCTTTGACAACATCCACTGAACACCTCGTATGCAGTGAAGTGAAACCACACATGAGAATAAATTACAAAAACTTCCTTAAAAGAAGTGTGTTTTCAGCCTAGAACAGAGTAGCATCAAAGCATCCTAGCTTAGAAATTTTTATAGTAGTTGCACAACTACTTATTTAAATTTTTATTCTGAAAACTGGAACTCAACTTGGAGAGCAGTCAACAGCATATTCAGAAAATAAGCTTTGTTGAAGTGTTAAGGGCAGAGAATACTTTTGCATCTCGCTGATGTGCTTGTAAAAGATCAGGTGTAAAAGCTCCTGTTGGAAAGGCAGAAAATACTGGCTGGCTCTTTGGAAACCCTGGCAAGAGTCCTGGGTACTTGACTGTCATTTGCAGTTCACAACACTCTCCAGGGTGCTGGTAATGTTTTAACTGTGCTGCAGGTTTAAGGCTCTTGCTACCTGCCACAGCTCAAGAAGAAAATAATCAGAGATTATCCCCTGCCACTGTTGAAAACAAATGCTCTTAAAACTGTGGACTTTTTTGTGAAAACCATAATTGTTTTTCTCTTTGACCAACAGGGATGTCCTTCCATTCACACTGAAGTTGCCTCATGCAATTGCTGCAGCAAAGACAGAAGCTGAACTTGAAGACATTGCTCAGCTTGGACTGAGTAAGTAGTTCTTTACAGAGATGTCCTTCCCTGTAGCACTCCCGTGAGCCTGAAAAAATAACCTGTGTCAGTAAGTAGTTCACATTGGTTAGTGATGTTACAGATTTCATGGAGAAAAGAACCTTCTCTTATTTGGGAAGACCAAACCTTGTTCTGGCCAAATAGTGGTGCTCCTTCTTCCTTCTGTGGTATTTTTGTTAGTGCTGTTTCCTTCTTCCTTCTTCTCTCCCCTCTCTGGGCAGCCCTCGGGCAAAGCAAATCTTGCAATCCCCAGGCAGAGGTTTGATGTGGCTTCTGCTCAAAACCCTGCTGTTGGCTGTGGGCTCACTGGCTTGGTGATGTACTGGAGCTGCGAGGGCAGTGTAGGAACCCAGGGCCCCATCAGTAAAACTCCTGTTCAGGTTGACTTGCAAACTTAGAATGGGGACTTTGGAGATCAGTGGCTCGTTGAAATGGCAGATTAAGAAAAGGAGTGCACACCTGCAGAATGTCTCCATGTGCATGACAGCAAATGTTTGAAAGAACAGAAGACAGAGCAAGGACATGCCCTTGCATGGCCTGACTGCTGCAGCCAAGTACAGGCTCAGTGGGAAGCATTCCTTGAGCTCGCAGGAGATGCAGAGCCCGGAGGGATTTGAAACTTGGGCACCACCCAGATGAATCATTGAGCAACTCCTGCAAAGTGCTGAATAGCCTCATTTCCTTCTCCAGGAAGGGAAGGCTGACTGTCAGCAGTCTTTGTCCCAGTAGATTTTTTTAATCATCATGGATTTTGAAATGGATCCTCTCTAAATCAATGTTAGTGTGAGGATCTCTAGAACTGTTTGGTGGGACTTCACAGCAAAGCCATACACACCAGGATGTATTGCACTGCTTTGCATTTGGATTTACTGCAGCAGCAATCCAATTAAGGGATTTGTTTTAGAGAGGAGATAAATTACTTCTGCACTGCTTATCTGCAAGTTTAGGTAATTAGATGAAAATATGGGTTATCATGGGAGTAGAGGCAAATATGGTACTGTTGAGGTCACTGTTTAGATGGAAAAAAGAAAATAAAAGGTCTGACTGGGATACAGTGTAATGATACAGTCTCCCAGTGACACATAGGAAGCCTTAAGGTAACATTAGGTGAGTTTTTCCAGAGGGGATAATAATGGTGGTGTTGATCAAGTTCTCCAGACTAACCCGCTGCCTTTGTCCTCGGTACTCCAGACCACTGTGGCCTACTTGCTGCAGAATTAGTCTTGCTCTTGAACAGTTTCTGCACTGTGTGTGTTTTTTCTTTAGCCTAATACATTTGAAAGCTGAGGAGGAGATGGATGGATCAATGTCTGTGTGGTTGCTGTGTTTGGGATCAATTACCTAATATAAACCAGATTAAGACCACACTTTCTATGAGCAAAAACCAGGCAACAAAGTTGAGATTTTGATGGAGTTTTAGGTGTCCAGGTGTGAAAGAGCACACCAGGAAGTCAGCCCTTCAGTGCTGTGGACTCTCAGCAGCCCTTCCTGTTAAATGTGAGTCTTCCTTAAGCGACACGTAGGCACAAAACGCTGTGCTGTGAACACAGAGGGTTGTATCTGCTGTCAGAGCTCTGTCATGCAGTCGGCTCAGGGGAGAGCTGCATAAGACAGGTCAACAGCATGTAGCCCAGCAAGCCACATCAGCTGGTAAAGATTTCCAAGCTGTTGCCAACCTGTAAGATTTCATGTGCTGAACATAAGATTGCTCTCTGGGCCTCTCCTGTGTTTCACTTGCAGCAGTGCTTACACCACGTGTGTTTGCAGCAGCCCATGTGCCAGGCACGCTGGCCGGTCTGCTGAGAGATCTGCAGGCAGGATGTGAAGTCATGAAACTGGGAAAACCAGCAACACTGCATGACTGTGTAGAGAAACATGCCTGTGCCTCTGTACCTCTCTGGCAGTGGCCTGTCACCATGGGCCATTTCCTGTCTTCTGCCCTGGAGGCAAGACATGGACCTGTTGTGGATGCTTGGCACTCGTGAACTTGGGCGCAGGTGTCATTGCTCAGTGGCCTCAGATGAGGCATCTTGACACTACAGGGGAAAGGGACCATGCCAAGATTGGCAGATTTCAGCAAAATCTCCCTCCTCTGGTGTCCCTCCCTTATTTCAGCATGACCGCTGTCCTCAAGGGCACATCTGATTTCCACCCTCATACCTTCAGGAGCTGATGCTCTTTGCCACTGGCTCGGTTGCACAAACACGCAGATGCTTTGCTGGGACAAGTGTGGAGGCTGCAGCTGAAACTTGCTGGTTTAGAATAGGTTTTCCATGCTGCTGGTGTGGGACTGCACCTTGGGTCTATTTTTGGGCTGTTGAGTGTCTATAACCTTGAGCAAACTGTCCCCATGGCAAAGGCAGGGCTGCAGGCCAGTGCTCTTAGACACATGAGCACTTGGTGTGCACAGCTAAAGGGGATGTGTGCATCCACCACAGCAAAACGTGAGCTGGCTTCTCGTGTGTGGTTTCATTGGTTCACCATGAAGAGAAACCAACCAAGATTTTTGTTGAGTTGCCATATGTGGCCTTCAGCTGGTGTAAATCAGTTAAACTGTTGTCTTTAATGAAGTGAGCTTATTAGTACCAGCTGAGAATCTTGCCTTATTTCTCCTGGGTGAGCTGCTAGTAAGTAGTTTATGTTCATTTTGGTCTCGAGCTGGTAAGAAGTACTCTTTTACAGTCTCCATTCCTGTCTTTGATTCTCAGTTTAATTTTAAGCTTAGTTCAGTGGAAGCTATGCATTGGTCATGGTATTTATAAAAGAGTAAGAGCAGTCCCAGGAGTGTAGCATGCAGTTGTGTCTGGTGGTGCTTTAAGAGGCTTACTTGGAATCTTCCCCCCTCCCCTTGAATTAATAAAAGCTCGCCTAAATTTCTTAATACTTTAAACTGGTATTGTTGAGCTGAATGTTCTCAGAGCATCTGCATGCTGGTTTGCGTTCTTACGTTAATGCAATGATGATTTTCAGACTTTTGGAGCTCCCTGGCTAACAGCAACCCCCTGGATCCTTCACCTCCCTGTAGGCCTGTGCCTTTGGACAGTGCTCGTAAAGACTCGCGTCAGCTCTGCCTTATAAATGGAGTGCATTCTATACGAACCAGAACGCCCTCGGAGCTGGAGTGCAGCCAGACCAACGGAGCGCTGTGCTTCATTAATCCCCTCTTCTTAAAAGTGCACAGCCAGGATGTCAGTGGAAGTCTGAAAAGGCAGAGCCCGAGAACTCCAGACGTGAATGGCACGGCGAGGCCTCGCTCCCCCCCGCCCCGGCCGCCACCTCCTGCTATTAATAGCACCCTCAGGAGCCCGCAGCTCTCCAGGACTATAAAGCAGGCGAGCATGCCAGAAACAGCGAACCATAAGAAAGAGAGAGGCTCGGATTCGTTGCAGAGCAAGCCAGCCCCGATTCCGCCTCCTCGGCTGAAGAAGCAGGCGGTTTGCTCCGAGGCAGAAGGGGGCCCGAGGGCGGCGGCCGCTCAGCCCGGCTCGGCGCGTGGGCCCGGAGCAGCAGCCGGGCTTCCAGGTGAAACCCCGCCCGAGCCCGCTCCCGCAGCTCCCAAAAAGACGGCGGCTACCACCTCTGAGTCACACATCCCGTGGAATGGAGGCAGGCAGAGACTGAGCGACATGAGCATTTCCACCTCCTCGTCCGACTCGCTGGACTTCGATCGGAGCATGCCGCTCTTCGGCTACGAGGGGGACACCAACAGCAGCCTGGAGGATTTCGAGGGGGAGAGTGACCAGGAGAGCATGGCACCCCCTTTGAAGCCCAAGAAGAAAAGAAGCAGTTCCTTTGTTCTCCCCAAGATTGTGAAATCTCAGCTGCGGAAAGTCAGTGGAGTTTTCAGTTCCTTCATGACCCCCGAAAAGAGGATGATTAAGAAAATTGCAGAGATGTCCCGGGACAAGCGCACTTATTTTGGATGCTTAGTGCAGGACTATGTCAGCTTTCTCCAAGAAAACAAGGAATGCCATGTTTCCAGCACTGATATGCTGCAAACAATTCGTCAGTTCATGACCCAAGTCAAGAACTACCTGTCCCAAAGCTCCGAACTCGATCCCCCAATCGAATCACTGATTCCCGAGGACCAGATAGGTAAGAAACACTGTCCTGTGTTTTGTGGGAAGGTGAAAATGTGTAATCTGTGTTTACAGTGCTAGTCTTTGTCCAGTTCAGAAAAGTGTGGCTGACTTTGCCAGTAGAGTCTGAGCCACTGAGTGTTTGGGTCTTAAAAACCCACATCACCCTGTCAGCTTGGAAGAACTGTGCTACCAAGTTGTTCATAAAAACTTTTCCTTAAAATAGGTGCAGCCTGGGCTTTTTACCTGTGATTGTTACTGCTTTAGCTGCTATACTGTTAACAACACAGAATCCTTTATTTGCTGGCACACATGTATTTTTCCCTAAACTGGGCCGAAACAGTTCTTAGAGCTTGGTCCAAAACTCCTGATTTTAACCATGTAGATTTTAGCTGTAGAACTAGAATTTATTCAAAACCAGTGACATCTAAGAACAGAGAGACTTTCATGACAACTTACTTTTTAAATAACTCTCATTCTTTGAAACATTCCTAATCACTCCTGGCAAAGCTGCACTGTCCCTACACTTGAAACTAAATAAAAAGATATAGAAGAGTTTTAAAAAGCAAACAAATGTGTGCAAGACAGAAAAGGAGCTGCTAATCTCTAACTTTTCTGCTCTATGTACATGTTTGTAAATGCTTGCAGATGAACTATATGCTTGAATATATGTTTTAACAACACAGAGGGACTTGTGTATCTACAAAAGTGAAATTGTTGTTGCATAAAATCTCACTGCCTCTCTCTTGCAGAGTCTGAGCAGTATTTGTAAAAGAGCCTGTAAGCCACATTTAGGAGGTAAACATCCCTCAGGGCAGAATACTTTCCTTGTGAGCTCACTTCAGTCCTGATTTGCTTGTTTTTCTCCATACCCCAGTGTCCCAACAGTTGGCCCAGTGCAAAATTGGCAGATGCTTTTCTCTCTGGGACTAGAGGGTAATTTTATGTTGACATTCTGTCTGTCCTTGACCAAGAGGAAGTGTTCTCGTGTAACCTCAACTTCATTTACACAAAGTCAAGCAGAAGTCACAAGGACTGCTAAAGCAAGTACAAAAACGTGAAGAATGTCCTTGAAATGGAGACTCAGAGACATGTCATGTTCTCAGTGTAATAACAGAGACTGTTACCTGGGTGTTACATGAAGAAAAAGCACCGAGTTGAGCAGGGGGTGCAGGCACATTTTCACCTGCATTTCTGCAGAGCACTGGATATTTGACAAAGTAATACAGATCCAGTTTGTGTGTAATTCTGCAAAAGTTTAGTTTGTTGTGTACTTTTAATTTCAAGGGTGTGGTTTAAGCAGACTGTGGGTCTCCCAAGACTAAAAACATGTTATCTGCTTTTAAATGTTTCAGTACTTTGGAATAGCATAAGCTGTGAAATATAGTAACTGAACTACACTGGTTTTCTTCAGCGACAGAAAGTCTGGCTTTGATCACATGATTAAACACAATTAATTTATAAAGTGGGATAGTTGAAACAAAGGAAGAACTTGCCTTTGAATCATCCGCTGCCCATGGTTCAAGCCTGCAAACAACTGCAGTGGATCAGGAGCATCAGATGTTGCTGATGTAAGCAGATAACTATGTGACAGCAAAATTTAGTCATCCCTGTAGAGAGCTTTTTATGAAGTAGCCCTGCCTGTTGTCCACAGCTTTGCTTGAGTATTTCAGTATGGAATTGCAGCCCAAATTTTAACTTTGTGAGTCGTTGTTTATCCTCTCCTGTCAGCCCACACTTTGGTGGTGCAGGTTTTTCCTCTCAGTGTGTCAGCCCAGCGCTGGATGTGTGCTCCTGGGATAATACTCCTCCTTTCTAAGTCAGGCTTTACCTTAACCCCCTCTTGTCTCCTGAATTCCAGTAGGTTTAGTGAAGCCCTTGGTATTTGGGACTTCCTCCCATATTTCTGTAGGGGTCTTTGTGATCGTGTAGCTTTCCTTGTAGAATGGCATCGGGGACTCCTGCAAGCGAAAGACTTCTGTGGGAAATCTTTGAAGTTTCCCAGACAGGGGTCACATCACTTTGTTAAACTTCTGCAAAATCATTGGGAGAATATGCATCAGGGTTTCTAATGAGTCCTGACAGATGCCTCCTAATCTTAGCACTGTAGGCTGTTAACCCTTCCTGAAGCAATGGGATTCCCAGTGTTGGAACAGAATCAAGAGTGGGGCACATGGCTCTTTACTGTTTAAAGATGAATGCAATTTGTGTTTTTTTAAAAGACATCCACACCTCGAGTTGTATCCGCAGAATAAAGACCTGGAGTGGTCAGAGGAGGCCCTGATGGTCCACAGCTGCTTCATCAGCATATGTTTGGGAGTTTTTGTTTGTCTTTCCTCTTTTCCTGGCTTTGAGCAGAAAGGAGTCAAGTTGACTGTTGTCACTTTGCCAGGTGGGATCTAACATCTGAACAGCTTCAGTCTCAATGCCTGAATGTGGGCCTGGCCTAAGAAATGACTGGTTTAAATCATTTGGCAGTAAGGTATTAACTGATCGTGTGGAAATGTGCCTAAACAATACAGTCTGTTGCTTGTTATGGTATTTCTAATACGTACCAGATACTTAAATGCTGAATGTTCACAGAAGGTTGGAGAGAAGGTGTTGGCCCCTTACTGGCAGGCCATGCTGTGTCACAGGGGCTTGGGTCTGTGTGGAGGAGTCACAGGCAGACAGAGCTGGAAATACTAAGCACAGTAGAGCTGAGGACTGACCCCCAGGGTACCTCTTTTCAAATATCTGTCATTTGACAGTCAGCCATTGATAATGGAGTTCTCAGTGCACTGTTTTGTGCACCTGTTCATGCACCCACCTTACGGCTGTTACAGCAGGACAACATTTCCCTTGTTTGTTTATTTGGAAGGTGCATGGAATAGGGCTATGGGTCTTAAAAAGGCTAAGCTGTAGCCCACCCCCAGCTCCCCTCTTCTTCACTAATCCAGCTATCCTCTTAAAGGAGTTAGAATGGTAGGTCACTATTTCTCCTTGAAAAACTCACGTTGGCTGATTTTTAGCACTGCCTTACTTTTGAGGTGCTTGTACACTTGTTTTGGTGTCCCATCCCCCTATCCTGTCGTTCATCCTGGCATCTTTCCATCTTGAGGTGAGGTTGAGCAGCGTGTCCCTCAGTGCTCCTCCTGTCACCAGAGGAGTGGCAGGATTGGGGAAGTAAGAAACAGTGCTAAAGGCACTGAGCAGAGACAGAGGACTAGGTTCTCCCTTTTCCAACCATCCCTTTGATTTGCTTTGTGACTTATTCCTTGCTCCTTCTTTTTACTACTACTTTCAGAGGAGTATTTACGACACAGCTATAGCCTGATTTTTAGTTAACCCACAGCTGTTTAAAGCAAAACAAGCCTAGCACAGATAGCTGTGTGATTGTTTGGTGTGCTTTAGGTAGGTAAAACGAGGGCAGGCTTACCTTTTGTGCCTAATTGCTCAGTTTCTGCCACCGCTGCCTATACATCACCCACCTCAGTCCTACCTCTTTTCAGAGTTGTGCAGATGATAAAGGAATGTGGGTTGTGTGAGGTCTTACTTTCAAGTCTTGCTCCTTCGAAGGAGATGCCCTTATCTGCACCATGGACTAGGCATGTGACACTGCAGGCACCACCAAGAAATGGATACTTGGCCATCCTGACACGAGCTATCCTAAAATAGATCCGTGTCAGTCGTGCCAGGCTGTGAACTTAAAAGGTGTCAGGAAAATCCAGAACAAAGCAAATGCAGTGCAGTCGGGTGTCTTGCACGTACATGGCGTGGTTTTCCAAAGCAACCTCCTGCTTTCAGCTCCCAGACAATGTTACTGTGCAGGACTGGGCCTTTCTGTGGTGCTCCTCAGGCTTGCTCAGTCTCTTACTGACCCCTGCTTCTCCTGATGAATGGTTTGGCCATCAAGGGTGATAAACGGGCCTGTGTGTGAAACAGAGACTGGAATCTGACAGGTAATCTCAGCGGACCAACAACAGCTGGTAACAGGTAAACTGGGGGCCTGGAAAAGGTGAGAGTGTGCCTTTGAGGCAGTTTGAGGAAGTGAGGGTTGTAAAGAGGCTGTGTAAGGACACTGGCAATGACTAACATGTTGTCCTGTCTAGATGCAGACTTGTGTGGTTTGCAGCAAAACAAAAATAGCGTGTCAGCACAGGATACAGATGTGTTTCCACAAGTCACAACGAAACTAGCTGGCTGGCCTTTACAATTCATTTATCAAAGCACTTCCAGTTCCCATTTTGAGGGTAGAGGCTAATTATAAGTATCACTTCAGGAACGATACACAGTGTTCAGCTCAAATTATATTCAGTAAAAAAAAAATAAATCTGAAGAGTGCCTGTTTTGGTTTTGGAGTGTTAAGCATCCTGGCAGGAAATTTGAAAACATATAGCTGAAGTGAACAGGAGTTTTTGTTGCCAGTTTGGATCTGAGAAATATACAGAGGTGCTAAGGTAAAGAATCAGTCCTTCATTCACAACTTAGATGCTAATTTGCTGGGAGACAGACCCTCATATACTTGTTTGTGGCCATTTGAAGTTACACAGTGAAAACTGCTGCTGGCTGGGAATTGGTTTGTGGGGTCATAACCAGAAACACCTTTCTCTGAAAGGGGCCAGAAACAGCAGCTCAGAAGAAAGGGTAGATAGTTGGATGATCTGCCCCCAAACATGCTAATAGGTGCCTGTGACACTGAACATTGTTCTAAGACCCAGATCACAAGAAATGCTGTCCCTCCAGGCTTTAATAATAACATAACATTTTTTACAGCTTTTGTATGAATTAGGATATGTATGGGTATTATTGTTGACCATTAAAAAACCCATCCAGTCCTTACCAATCCTGCTGCTTGCCAGATTTTGCCAGTTTTCCATTTGAGGCCAGAACTCAGTGGTACTTATGTCTGCGCTAAGAATTCGTAAGGGAGAAGAAAACTTTGTGTGTTGTTTTGGGGGTTTTTTTGTGTTTGGTTTGGTAGATTCTTCTTTGTTGTGGTTTGTCCTTTGTTTTGTTAGGTGGAGCTTTGTGCTTATGTGCTCCCTTCCTCTGTGCTGCTTCGAATCGATTGAAGTTTCCAGAGACATTGCGTAATGTTATTGAGTAAATTTCAAAGCCAAACCAGGCGCTGCTGCGTATGAAAGAACATCTCCTCCTACCTTGCCGAGCTGTAAAAATCTGTATGGCTCATCTGTTGGAGTGGCACAACCTTTGCCAGGGTTGAGGGCAGGAGACCTGAGCCTCCCCCTTCTCCCCTGCAAGTAAGAAGCCTGGTCCCAGCCAGGGGCCGGGGCTCTGGGCAGGAATTTTGTCTCCCAGCAGAATGCAGTTCTGTAGCCTCTGGGCAGGCACTGCTGCTGCAGCTCCCTCCCCACTGTCCCTGCAGGCAGCAGCCAAACCAGCTGCAGGCTGGCCCCCAGAGAGGATCAGGCACCAAACAAAGGGAGTTTTCCAGGCGAGGTGCTCCCTCGGGATCAGACTGTGGGCTCTGAGGAGCCGTGCTGAACTCGTTAGAATGCACCGAGCCTCCTGCGACCAGATGTGGTGATAACCCCACCTTACTGAGCTGGAGGATGGCTGATGCTCACTGTTCATGTGCAGAACTTCAGTGGAAACCTGTGGGAGTTCCCATTCCTCAGGGATAGAGTTCTCTCGCTTTGCATGATGCTTAGGAGCACCAACTGCTTTAATAAACAAGACAGGGTGGTTGGAATGCAAACTGCAGAGGTGTTCCTCTTACAGGCAAAGCAGGTGGTGTCTTTCCTATTTAAGAACTCAGGCAGTAGAAATAAAGCAAGCTGAATTGTCAAATGATCAGTGAAGCTGGCAAGGAACTGTGTGTCCACCCTAGAACTTTAGCTGGCCAGCACACCCGTGGGTGGGGCTTGTGTGTTTTTCTTGGTGGAAAATTGTTTCTGCCTCGTGAGCCCTGAGGATTGCTGGGATGGCAGGGAGAGGCAGTTTCTGTCCCTGTGTGCAAGGGTGAAGCTTCCCTGGCTGTGTTCTGTCGGGGTGATTGTGGGGCTCTCCCAAGTACAGTAGATAAGGATCAGTCGTTTGAAGTGTTGCCACTTGCTAATGTATAATTGGTGACTCTGGTCTGGGGGGAAGCTGGATCCACCCTTCAGGCTGTGTGACAGGCCACCAAGAACATGTGTCAGACTGATAATGCCTTTTTACAGGTGGCTGTAGGGAAACCTAGAAAATCAGCAAATGCTGCCCTTCACGTCCACTCTTTCTCACCTCCAGCAGTTGGACAGTCTCTGTTGTGAAGGAGAGCCCAGGTGTGTTTATAATGTCCTGGAATGAAGCAGACACAGCTTTGCCCCTCCAGTAGGGTCTCTAAACTGAAAGGCAGAAAGACAAGCTACAGAAGCCCCAGCAGAATTGGGGTAGGGGAGAGGGGAGCTCCCAGCAGAGTTGCAAGTTTGGGAATTGCATAGCAGACAAACACAGAATAAACACTGCATATGAAGCCAAGGCACCATAAGAGGAGGAGTGTTTGCAGAGTGTGTTTGTGTGGGAAAGAGAAGACCCAAAAGAAAAAAAGGGCTGGACACAAGGATAAGATAAATAAAATCATAAACAAAAGCAAGAAAACAAAAGTAGGTAATGCTTGTCTGGAGGGCATGGGTATGTGTAAATCCCAAACCTTAGAAAGAGTATGTGATTTTAAATAAAGGGAGGGGCAGAGAGAAAAGAAAGAGGCTGTAGTCTAAGAAAAAGACAGAAGTACAGACAAAGAACCTGGGAAGGGCACGAGGTTTAATGAAACTTTCCTGGGTCACCATTACTAGCAGGAATGTCCACTGCTGGGTTGTAAAAACGTGTGATCTGGCAGTGACACAGTCTCTGCCCTTTCTGCTCTCAGTGCTGGTGCTCCCCTGCCTGCTCGAGGCTCTGGTCCTGAGAGCTGAACGTTGTGCACTCTGGCCCAAATGACTGATGGAATCTAATAACCCATGTAAGCTATGCTGCCGTAAGGGCGCCGATGCTGTTGCTGTCAGGATGCTGGGAAAAGAAATTCCCTTGTGAAGTAAAGGTTTGCAGAGAAAATGTTCAGTAAAGAGCTTTCTCTGTTGGTGTAGTCCGTACTTTGAAAATGGAGAACAGGGGTTAAAGAAACACTTGAGTAGAACAAGAATTAAAAGAAGCCTGTAAGTTTGTGGTTACAGTGCCATGTGCACGCTACTGCCAAACAAAGAACTTCCAACTTGATGACAAAGCTGGATGTGAGCTTGTGTGATGAAATCTGAAGCTGGACAAACACAGCTTGGTTTTCATTTATGGTTTAAAGCCCATAATCTGTCCAGCTTCGTAAAGATCTTGACAAGTTTAGCCAAGTTTTAGGGAACCTTGGTTGAGTTATAATTTCCAATGGAAACTATGCAAAAAGGATGGGCTTTAATGCCAAAGCAGACAAAAATTATGATTTTATGGTGTTGGCTGTGTTTTAGTTTAAATTTGGGAGTTAAAGGCTAAGCTGGAAGTAAAATAAAACATGGAGACTTCTGACCAACAAAAGAAAAACTTGAGTAGAGCCACAGCTTGCTTTTTTTTTTTACTGTCTGTAGTTCATCTTTGTGGGTGTTTTTTCTGTATTTACCAACTGCCATAAATGACAATGGAACACAGATTCTGCTCTGCCTCTTGTTTTCTTGTTAACAAACATCTGGAAACTCAGCTTGTGTAATAAATAGGCCTCAGCCAGTAGGTTTTGCTCTACAACCTCTCTTTAGGGAATGGTTGTATTAATGCTGGCTCTGCTTTAGAGGAGGAAGTCAGCTGGACTTGTGCTTTCCCGTTGCAGATGTTGTCCTGGAGAAGGCCATGCATAAGTGCATTCTGAAGCCGTTGAAGGGTCACATTGAAGCAATGTTGAAAGAGTTTCATACCACGGATGGTTCCTGGAAGCAACTCAAGGAAAACCTGCAGCTGGTGCGGCAAAGGAACCCTCAGGAACTGGGCGTGTTTGTTCCCACCCCAGACTTCGTGGACGTTGAAAAGATTAAAGTCAAGTTCATGACTATGCAAAAGATGTATTCCCCTGAAAAGAAAGTCATGCTGCTGCTGAGAGTTTGCAAATTGATTTACACTGTTATGGAGAATAACTCAGGTATGGTGCTTCTTATAGTTCAGGTTCAGATACTCTGTTCCTGGCGTTGTCTTTTAGGGGAATCAGGCCACCTGATTCTGCAGATAGGTCTCCTCCTGGAGCTCTGGTAGCATCTCCTTGTCCTTTTGAGAGGGGTTCTTCCTCTCTGCCTCATCCCTGCTATCTCTGGTGCATCTGGTAGCACATCTTACAAACTCAGTGTGAGAGGCAGCTGAAAAAGAGCAGCTTTGCTTGACTGTAGGCTTTGAAGTTGGCTGTCAGAAAGGCTGTCTTGTGAGCCTTGAATTTGACACTCATTCTAAATTAGTATTTTTCTGCACATTAATAATAGAGGTAACACCCTATATTTAGCTATAGTAATTCAATAGCGTGTATGCAGCATGACAACTACAGGGTTCTGTGTTAATGGGTGGAGAAAAGCAGGCTCTAACCCAGTATTTTTGGCTTGCTGTGCCTTTGAGTGTTCTCATTTGGACACTTTCTGTCATGCTTTTGGAAAAGAAAGCGTCTATTTCTGTACTGTAGCAAGAATCCAAAAACGCCTTTGAAACCTAAGTACAGAAATGAGACTACAAACAAGTTAAGACCTGCTGAGCAGTCAGTGGCACAATTAAAATGCTGTGCTGAGTAGTCTGAATTTATAGGAGCGACTCTGACGTCATCTCATACACTGCTGTGATGGGTCCTGAGCTCAGCTGAAGCAACGCTGTGGCAGTGGGAGATTTTTTGCCCTGAGTATGAGCTGCTGCAGGTGGCTGGCAGTTTTCTTCCTAAGGGAGCATCGAATGTGCAGCTGGTTTTGGTGCTTATCAAGACACCCACTTTCTTTTGAGATTTGTTGGTGAAAGCTCATGGCCGTTAAAGCCCCCCAGGTACTTCTGTGAGATTTAGGACTGAGCTCCTGCCCAGCTTATTATTTCTGTGCAAAATCCTGCATTTTAAAAATGGATATAGGAGTGTAGGACTGAAGTTCTGTAAACTTCTCCATGCTGTGTTATCTGGGCAACCTGTGCCAGAGCACAGAAGAAATTAGAATTTCTTCCTAATATCTAATCTAAACCTACTCTCTTTCAGTTTGAAGCCATTCCCCCTTGTCCTGTCCCTCCAGGCCCTTATAAATAGTCTCTCTCCATATCTCTTGCAGGCTCCCTTCAGGTACAGGAGGCCTTGCTCATTGATGTTTTTAACTATTCTCTTGTCAAGGAAATGAGTTGAGTTTCCATGTCAAATTTAATACACTTTTATATTCAGGCTTCTCTGCTGTGGGATTCAGACTCAGAAACTGGTATTTGTGTTTGGATCCTTCCAGAAAGTAGATGTAATCCCTGGATGTATAAAGAAAATGCCTGTTCCTCATCTCTTAGGCAGTGATAGAAGTGCAGGTGGAGGTCAGGCCAGACTGGCATGGCAGCCTTTGTGAGTTCACCAGCTGAGCTGGTGCCAAGGTGAGCCCAGTCTCTGAATTTCCCTTTCGTGCCTCAAGGTGTGCATCATCAGATTTGTGCTTGTTAGAAGCACAGGGTGAAGCTGGTGTTGGTTCCTGCCCATGGAATGTCAGATCACGTTCTCCTTGTTGCGCGCTGGTGACAGGAGGCTCAGGAGCAATCCAGATATACTGGTCAGAGAGGCACAAAATAATGCTTTGCTTTCCAACACAGAAATTGGTGAAAGGGTGCAGTTCATCTCTCACTGTCTGTGTTCCCTTCAACCCAGGGAGGCTGTATGGGGCTGATGACTTCTTGCCTGTGCTGACATACGTGCTAGCCCAGTGTGATATGCTGGAGCTGGATACCGAGATCGAATACATGATGGAGTTGCTGGATCCATCTCTGCTGCATGGAGAAGGTAACCTATTTATTTATTTTTATGAGAACTGAGCGAAGGACTAGTGAAGGGGAATTCTTCCTCATAATGCAGTTGCAGTTAACCTTGTCTGAGTGGAAACCCTTTTAAAGGGAGCCCTAACACGGACCATGTCAGGAGTGTGATGACAGTCTGGGCACCATTTCCAGCGGCAGGGAAGAGGCAGCTGGCAGAGCACAGGCCCCATGAGCTGGGAATCTGCTGCTGGCCCCTGTCACAGGAGCAAATCTGGGCAACCTGCAGAGCACAGGCCCAGTGAGCTGGGAATCTGCTGCTGGCCCCTGCTGTGGGAGCACATCCATTGTGGCCAACCCATTGTGACTTAGCAACCAAAACCATGCACTGGGCAGGTGCTGAATGTCGTTATCCTTCTGTGCCTGAAAACTTCCTGAGGGTATTTGTAGGGCAGCAGCGTTCCCTTAAACTGTGAGGCACATGGTGGGACTTGGGTTAGGTGCTTTGTAGAAGCTGGGGGCCTTCCTTGCTCCTCTGGGGGAAGTGCTTCTGAGAATACTGCCCCTCTTTAATGATCTTTGCTTCTTCCCAATATTTGATTCTCATAAAGTATTTTTATGAGCCCCAGGAACATGTTCCCCAAGGCAGTGTTGAACGATGGCTAAAGTCTGCTAGAGGCAAGGAAATCTCCCTCCTTGCTGTTTTCGTGGTGATGTTTTTAACACCTTCTGCAAGGCCCCAGTAGGCCCCAGAACCCCCAGGTTTAGGAGGAATTTTCAAGGTTCTCGTGACGAAGCTCAGCTGTGTGTTTAGGTCTGTGTGCACGTTTCCTATTCCTACTGTCTCTTGGCTTGCTGAAATTGCTGTATCCTCTTCCATGCCGGGATGCCTGAGGGAATTCCTGCCACGATTCCTCCAGCCTGGCATGAGTCTGTTCCTTGCTTTGTGTACAGAGCATCCTCGAGTGCATTGTTCAGGAATCTTAGCATGGAAAATATTTGAAATGCGAAGCTGGGAATCATTAACCTGCTTCAAAGGCAGAAACATTTACTGGACTGTGAAGTCACGTTGTTGCAGCAAAAGAAGCTTCTCCATTGGCTGCTCCTGTCCTAGGCACCAGCTGAATTATACTGTGCAGTAAAAACTGTTTAGTGCTTTGGGGTTGTGCATTTCAACTGTAACATATTGTCCAACTTGTCTCACTGGTCTTGCATGTGCTTTATGTATTAATCTTGCTGCAAAGCTAAAGGCTAAGAGTGGATTCTGTCAAATATATAGAAAATATTACTGTGGGCACAGAATGCAGCTTTGAATGCCTCTGTGAATAGACTGTGCTGCCTCTTAGTTGGACACTCCCACTCAAATAGTTTACTTGCAAAAAAAGAAAGACAGCATGTCCTTTGTCTCTCCTGGTTACTGAGAACTGTTACCTCCTGTTGAGACTCCTTTTCCTTTGTGACCTGCAGCTTCTTTTGTACATTGACAGCTCTGTTGTGGCTTTAATTTGTTCTCCACTAATGTAATAAAGGTGCATGGAGCACTGTACATGTCATCTCCTGAACTAGTTGGACATTATGAGGAACTCTAAGAGGGTGACAGATCACTCTTCCTTTTAAAAACAAAGGCAACTCTTTGGGATGATTCCAGAGTACAAATCTCACACTCGGTTGTTTCTTTATTGCCATTCAGGGGGGTTACTTTTAAGATGCTGAACAGTGGTAGATTGTCTTTTACTTTGTTTAAACAGCTATGTTTATTTCATCCACATCTGAAGCTTGGTAAGAAAACAAATCGCTGTTTGAAAACTGTTAAGAAGAAAACTGGCATTCCAACTCAGTAGAGTTGGAACTCTAAGTGTAAGTTCCAACTTACACTCAGGAGTAACAGGAGTTATTTAAGTAACCAGCTGTCCTGAGCAGTAGTGGACACAGAGAGGGGCACCACTTGATAATATGGAGCACGTGCAACCACTGCACGTCCCTTAGCAGCTGAGAACACACCAGCCAGTGTTTTGCAGGCCAGTGAGCTGCTTTCCTTTATGTATCAATATTTTGGCAGCAGAGTACAAGGACTTTATATATGTGTGTGTCTCTGTGTGTATATTTATGTATACTAAAGAAAGTGCCTGTACTTGTGACTGTGACCACTCTGAGAAGTTCCTCCCTTGCTGTCCTTCACAGGAGGCTATTACTTGACCAGTGCCTATGGAGCACTTTCACTGATCAAGAACTTCCAGGAGGAACAAGCTGCCCAACTCCTCAGTTCAGAAGCCAGAGACACTCTGCGGCAATGGCACAAGAGGAGGACAACTAACAGGACAGTGCCTTCAGTTGATGATTTCCAGGTAGAACTCAGGGCTGAAATAAAAACTGGGATGATTGTTTTGCTGGAAACTCCCATTTGAGAGATATGATTCATAGCAATTTGCTCAGGGCCACAAGTGGAGTGAAGCAGTGCTGGGATTATGTCTGGCAAATCTGCCTCAGTTTTGAAGTCTTTGCACTTTATGAAAGAGTTTGGTTATGATGGTGTAAAGAAATCACTAAATAATGGAGCTTTCTCACTCTCCCTTCTAAGTCATGCAGAGCAAGGACAAACCAAATTGTATCTTAGATTCAGCTTCTTTGTATGCTTTACTGATAAAAAGATCAAATGCAGATGTCCAGTGGTGTAAATCAGCACAGCTCCCCAGTAGCCAGTGCTGGCATACAGCAGGTAATAGAGAGGACAGGTGGGAGAAAAGTTTGCCTACAGTTTTAAAGTTTAAGCAAGCAGTAGAGTTCTGTAATATTGATGTCGTTACGTTTGTTTGTTTTCTTTTTCCCCTCCCCTGCATCTTGTACTGCTCTTTCAGAGTAGGGCAGTACCTTCAACTGAAGAGTAACAAAACAGTCGGGATTGCTTCATCTTTTAAAACCAGGCCTGCATCTTTCATGTGCTGTTGACTGGCTGTTCAGATGCAGCAGTTTGTGGACTGAAGCAAGGAGGATGTTGGAATCGAGAAGAAAGGATTTCTTTACTCTTTTGTGTTCAGTTGTTTACAGTTAGGAAGAGGAGAACAGACTAACAGAAAGTCCAACCCACGGCCAGTGCACAAAGCTAGTCCCTCTTACTGGGATGGATGCATCTTGTGTTCTGCTTACCTGTCCTTAGGTGTCAGATCCAAGCAGCTTGAGTCTTTGTTCTTTCTGGCAAAACACTGCACTTCCCATAGGAAAATCCAACACCCTGTATTTCTGCTGGATGACAAAATTAAGGAACATTCTTTCAGCAGCATCTTGTGTGCAGTTTCAGCTTCTCTTTCTCTGCAAAGGAACTTCATCCAAGCTCAGTGCACAGCTGGATGCAGGAAGGGGCAGGGGAGGAGCTCTCACTGAGTGCATCCAGTGCCTCTCAGTCTGTTGTCTCTTTAAAAGAGCCTCCAATCAGTAGATCACTGTACTTCCAGGCTATGCTTGGCACAAATTCAGGCGTTTTTCTGTCTGCTCAGAATGCCAGTTTTCTCTCTCTTCCTCTGAGTCCTGCAGTCCTGAAATGGAGCACAGCTCATCTTTCCCACATCGAACCGGGCTGTGATCATGACATTTCTGTGATGTAGTCTCACAGCCTTATCAGATTTTGGGCCCTGGAAGGGCTGCCTTTCCTTCTTCCCCAACAGGATGGAAAAGGAGAAGTCATGTTTTTTGATGATGATGAAATACAGCTTTCTGATACTGCGTGAATAATTTTAATGCATATGAATTACAGGCATTTTTACGAACTTCAGCCTCTCCTTCAAGCAATCCTGTCCATCTAAAGGCACATGTATTTAAAAACAGGTCTTCTCTGTGGTAGCTACATTAGAAATTAAAAGTGTAGTGTGTTTTGCCTCATCTAGGGCTGATTTTTTTCTATAATTTCTTCACGCCAGGTAACAAAAATGGATTAGTTCTATTCAGTCAGATTCAGTCCCAAGTGTTTAAAATCTGTTGCAGAGCTTCAGTGTTTCAGTCTGCATGCTGTCTTTATTAAGACAAGAGTGCTCTTTGGAACTTAAATCATATGAACGTTCTTGTCAGTCCTAGCTTTTTTCTGTGAAATGTAAATTTTTGCCACTGTGATTTAGCATGCTTAATTTATTCAGCATACAAACTATAGGTACCGGCTCAGTCAATAAACAGCTCTTTCTCACTGTAATTTTTTCTGCCTCCTTTAATTTTGCTGCCTTTTAGTCTTTACTTGCAGCTAATTTTTCTTTTCAAACAGGCACACAGGAAAGTGTTACATGTGGCACCTGGACACCATGTTCATGTGTCCAAAAACTTTTGGTGGGCTCCCACCCTCCCGTTTCTTGCTCTTTATTTTACTTTTTGAATGCTTTTTGAAGGGTAAAACTGCATTTCCTGGCAGGGCACATTTAGAATGTATCCATTTTATCAGAGTTGTGGGCACGTGTCAGTTTTTACAGAGAGCAAAGGTCCAGCTTTTGCCTCAAGATCATATGGATTGACTGGAATGTTGCAGAGTAGATTTTCTTTCTGCATCCATCTGAGCCCTGTTTAAAAGAAGCAGATGCTGTCACGTGAAGCTTGGTTATGTCAGGCTTAGGCTCCAGCCCAGCACTGGTTAAGGATGAGGGGTTTTTGAGTTTCTGATGCCTGTTTTCTTGTTCTGCAGAACTACCTTCGTGTTGCATTCCAGGAAGTGACCAGTGGGTGTACGGGAAAGACCTTACTAGTAAGACCATATATCACCACCGAAGATGTGTGTCAGCTTTGCGCTGAAAAGTTTAAAGTGGACAATCCAGAAGAATATAGCCTGTTTCTTTTTGTTGATGACACCTGGCAACAACTGACAGAGGATACCTACCCTCAGAAAATCAAGGCGGAGTTGCACAGCCGTCCACAGCCCCAGGTCTTTCACTTTGTCTACAGGCGCATCAACAGTGACCCATATGGGGCCATTTTTCAAAACAGCAATGACTCACCTTCTTAAAACCAGCCACTCATCATTTGAATTTCTGTTTCTTGGTAACTGTTACAAACCTCTTTGTCGCTGCCTTCCTTAGGAGCTAAAACGTGTCTTAAACCGTAAAGCCTAGTAAAACACATGCTGGCATTTCTGGCATTGCTTACAAAACCCATGTTCTCAACACCATGCACATGGCCAGTTATGCAGAATATTCCACCAGCATGTTTGAGGGAATAGCCCACGAGGCTACATTTCTTGTACCACAGGCTCTTTTGCAGCATATGACACTGTGGCCCTTCACAGATCTTTGCTGTAGTGTGCAAAAATCTATTTTCTTACACTCATTGTTTAGCCAAATGTCATTTCGATTTAAATCTGCATGCTAGACAAGTATTTCAGTAAACTGGCTGGTATGAGCTCAGTTTTGCCAGCAGGAGTTTGACAAGACTGTCCGATGCAGGGCATCAGTTAACTCATAATTACCTGGATGATTGCATCCTTTTCTAATTTTTTTGATTACAGAAAATCATCATGTTTATATATATATATATTATACATATATATATATCATAGAAATTTTATAGCAGTTGCAGGTAAACTGTCAGGGTTGGTTTTTTAAATATTTTTTTAACTATAAAGTATTCTATAATTATGCATGTGATTTTAACATTTAATATACAAGAATAAATCTCTTGCTGGTTTTAGAGTATTGCATTAAAAGTATATGTGTTCTCTCTTCTTTCCCTGTTCCAGGAGAGCTCTTATGTAACTTGTGTTATGTGTAAGAAGATTGTAGCATCGGCACTGCCGATTCCAGTGCCTTTACCTGAACTTGGTGTATTGGTATCTGTATTATTGTTTATATGCATCGTTTTAGACAGAACTAGGGGGCTGGAAGAGAAAATTGAAAGAAAACGTTGTAGAGGAGGGGAAGAGAAAGAATGTAGAGAACCTAATTTAGCATTAAAATCTGTTAGTCTGCTGGTTCAGGCTCCTTGCAGAAAACGGTGAAGGAGGTTGGTCAGGAACTTCAGCGGAAGCAGCAGTGTAGGTCTGCAGAGGGATGTGACAGCACCTCTCCCAGGTACTATTTGTGTTAGCAGAGCATTAAATATGTCAGCAGTGTGAAGGAGAACACTATTTTGTACAGTTGGTTGCCAGCATCCAAGCGTATGTTGGCCTGGAGAACACGTGTCAGCGTTCCTGTCACCTGGAGAACACGTGTCAGCGTTCCTGTCACCTGGAGAACACGTGTCAGCGTTCCTGTCACCTGGAGAACACGTGTCAGCGTTCCTGTCACCTGGAGAACACGTGTCAGCGTTCCTGTCACCTGGAGAACTCGTGTCAGCGTTCCTGTCACCTGGAGAACACGTTCCTGTCACGTGTCAGCGTTCCTGTCACCTGGAGAACACGTGTCAGCGTTGCTGTCACCTGGAGAACACGTGTCAGCGTCCCTGACACCGCGTCACGCGCTGAGCGAGGCCCGAGGGTCAGTCCTGCGTGTGTAGGCAGCAGGTTGGTGTTTCAAGCACGTGTTCCTGTGGGTTTTTCCCAGACAGCCCGTGTCATGGGTGATGCTCTGCACCCCCCTAAGTCAGTCAGGGCTGCTGTCTTAGGGGGACACGGGGTGCTCCCCAAATCTGCTGTAGCGGTGGAACATAAGGCAGAGACCACCCAGGTGCCACGGGCAGCACGTGTGTTGTACATACAGAGATTGGTCCGTTTGCCTTGTATGTGAGACCCCTGGCACGTGCCTGTATTTCATTTTGTACATGTTGAGTGTTGCACATAATAATACATTGCAATGCTGAACTATAATTTGGGATGTTGTGTGCTGTGGTTTTTGGGGGGAGCTTTTTTTTTTTAAATGGTTCATGCTGTAAAGTTTTGTGTATAAGTGACTCTAATGCTGCTGCTTTTTGTGCTGCTTGACCCAGTGTAAACTCTTTGCAGAGGAAGGACCTTGCTTGGCCTGAACAGTCAGTGGAAGCAACAGGCAGGGCTTGGCTGCTGAACCATTTTTTGTGACAGTGAAGGCTGATGTTCAGTGCTCAAGAAAGTTCCACTGTTTTCATAAGACTGTGACACTGACACTGAGGAGAGGGAAGGACTGGGGCAGAGTATTAAGAAACTCAGAATTTCAGGCATGAAGCAAAAGAAAGCTCAGAGTGCAAAAAGGGAAATGTGTGCCTAAACTGCCTCGAGACAATTTTGCTGTCCGTTCCCGTGCAGTTCTGTCTTCTGAAAATTAGAACATTTTATTCATTGTGGTTTCCAAAAACACTTCTCATAACGCCAGGAAACAGATGATACAAAAACCTGCAGAAATTTGGACTGGTAAAAATAAGCTGTTCAGTCTTCTCCAGTGTGAGGTGTTTGATGTTAGGAATGACTGAAAAGCAAGGAAAGGGTTATAGTTGAGTTTGTCTCTCATCACGTTCATTCAGAGCACACTGAGACAATGGGGGGGGAAGAGCATGGATAAAGGTGAAATTTCCCTGAGAAAAGTTTGAGATCAGAGCATTAACTGAGAGCACAGGCTGGGATCAGGGCTGAGCAGCACCACACCCTGTGCACACAACCCATTTAGCTTTGTCAGGGGGTTTATGGCCCTGCCAAGAAACAGATGCTGAATTAAGGAGTGCCAGGCCGTGGTTGTGTCTGAGCTGGTGGGTCATTTACATGTTCATCAGCCACACTCTGTAATAAATACTGCTTTTTGTTCCTGTGTTTCTTTCATCCTTATATCCAACTTTCCGTCCCTTTTTTTCTCTCTGTGTGTCTTTTGTGTCATTTTCTTGTCCTGTCTGCTCCCCATCCCATTCCCTGTCACTACTTTGCTCTAGTTTGTTTTTGTTTTTCTCTTTTAATAAATAAATATTCAATATTAATTTAATAAATATTGCTCAATCCCTTTCCCTGTTCCCTGTCATACTTTTACTCTCCATATGTCACTGCCTGTCTGCATCTTTATCTTTCCTTCCTTCTTCTTCTCCTTTTCCTATGTCTGTCCTGCCCCTCTTTTTCTCATTCTGACCCAGTGTCCTGCTCCCTGATCCTCTTTCCCTGTTGCTGTCTTTTTATCTGTCCTTCTCCATGCCTCTCTCATGTTCCCTCTTTCTTTTTCACTCTGTTGCTCTGTCCTCATTGTATCTCACTGCTGTCCTTCTGTCCTGTTCCCTGCCCCTTTTCTTTTTTAATCCCTTTCTGTTGTGCTGCCCATCCCAGTTTTGTTCTTCATCTCCATCCTGCACCCTGTCCTTTTTCTTTCTCTGTCCTGCTCCCACTCCCTCTTTCTGCCTCTCCACCTGTCTCCCTCTCCTCCTGTCTCCCTGATGCTCCCACCCCATTCCTGGGCCACAGCAGTGGGAGGCGGCAGGAGAACCGTAGGATTGTTTTTCATGTTAATCTTCAAATTTTCACTCTTGACTTTCAGCCCCACTGGCCGAGTGGGAAGAGCAGCAGTGGCACGAGGGCGGGAGCTGTTGGGTGGGTCTGGGAGCCCACATTGCCATCCTGGTGCAGCCCAGATTGCCATCCTGGTGCAGCCTGTCCTGCAGCCCCATGGGGTAATGTCCCTGCAGCAGCACCCCGGGGAAGGGAGGAGACATCTCCTGGCACTGCTGGAGCGCAGGAAAGGAGCGGAGCGGGAGGTGAGGTACCAGCCTGGGACACGGGGCAGAGTGTGGGAGGTGAGGGAGGTGAGGGAGGTGAGGCACCGGCCTGGGACACGGAGCAGAGTGTGGGAGGTGAGGGAGGTGAGGCACCGGCCTGGGACATGTGGCCCCTGTGCCACGGGACAGGAGCTGGGGGGACTTCAGCCCTTGGGGGGTTTGATTTTTCCAGCAGAGCTCCCTTTTTAGGGGGATGAGATATATGTGCTGCTGTCCAGGGCAGTGTGGCTCGTTCTGTGCCTTCTCTGGGGAGAGCAAAAAGGTGTGGAGGGAGGCTGGAGCCCGGGGGGTGCTGATGGATTTGGGACACCCTGATGTCACTGGGAGAGCGCTGGTGGGGTGGAAGGCACCTACAAGGCCCATGGCCCCTGGGGGATGGAAGGCACACCAGCACCAGGCTCTCACCAGCTGAGCCACTGGCAGGGAGGGGGCTCCTCTCTCCCCCCCCAGGGGAGATGAGCCCTCAAATGCAGCACTTTTCACCCCAAAACTGCAGCCTTCACTCCAAATCGGCCTCTTTCACCCCAAAACCTGCAATTTTCACCACAGCGTCTCCCTCCAGATGTCAAAATCAGCCTTTTAAATCCCCAGTCTGAATCTAGATGCAAAAACCTGCCCTTTTCACCCCAAATCTGCCATTTTTACACCAAATCAGCCCCTTTGAATCCCAAATCTACTTTTCACCGCAGCTTTGCCTTTTTGACCTCAATATCTGACCCGTTTTGCATCAAATATGCCAATTTCAGTCCCAAAATCTCCCTCCAGGCATCAAAATCTGCCCTTTCAACCTTGATAGCTGCCCCCTTTGACCCAAAATCTGCTCTTTTCACCGCAAATCTGCCTTTTCCAGCTCAAAATATCCCTCCAGACTCCCCAGTCTGCTCCTTTCACCCCAATTCTGCCATTTTACCCCCAAATCTGCCTCCAGATGTCAAAACCTGCATTTTTTTACTTCAGAATTTTTTCCCCGTCCCCCAAATCTGCTTTTTTTTAACCTAAAAATGTGCCCCCAGACCCCCAAAATCTGATTTTTTTACCTTAGAAATGTTTTCCCATCCTCCCAAATTTTCATTTTCATCCCCAAACCTGCATTTTTACCTCAACATCTGCCCCTTTTACCTCAAGATTCCCTCCCACAGCCCACAATATGCCCTTTTCACCCCAAAAGCTGATTTTTTTTTTTGCCTCAGAATTTCCTCTCACACCCCAGAGTGGGGAAATCAAGGGGGTTAGATGTGATCCCCTAAAAAGGGGAGGTTACGGTCCAAAAATGCCTGGAAATTCATAGGGAGAGTGTGCGTGCGCGCGTGTGTGTAAAACGCTAAAGCCTTTACAGTTTCTCATTTATATACATATATATAAACAAATAATTTATGTAAAAAATTAATTTTAAAACTAAAACCTCGAACCTGTTATATTTATATACAGGATTCTAGGGTCTAAGAAATTCCGAATATGGATCTGTAGGCCTCGAAAGTGAAAATATGACTTGCGTAGGTATAAATCAAACAACGGGCGCTCGCCCTGAGGCACCGGAAGTGTGCTGGGCGGGGGCGCATGCGCAGTGAGCCAGCACACGGCCCCAGTCACGTGGTAGGTGCGGCCGGCCCGGGCCAAGGGCAGCGCATGCGCAATGACTTCAATGACTGCGGTGCCGCCTGCTGGTCAAAGGGCGAGGCTGCAGCGACGGGACCTGCGCATGCGCCGTGCCCGGGGAGCGGGGAACAATTAACGGGGAACAATTAGCGGGGAATGGGGAACGGGAAATGGGGAGCGGGGAACGGGCCGGCCCGGGGGAGCCCCGCAGGGGATGGGCCGGGCCGGCGGCACCGAGCGGGGAAGGAGCGGCCGCGCCCGTTCCCGGGGCACCCGCCTCTCACGGAGGGGTAAAATGAACATTTTGAGGTAAACCCGAGGAAATTAGTGAGGGACATTCAGGGGGAAAATCGAGGTTCCTTGAGCGGGACAGGAAGGGACAGTTCTGGGGTAAAACCTGAGGTGGTCGCGGGAGGTTTAGGGGTCCAACCCGAGTCCCTGTGCCGGGATCGGAAGGAACGTTTCTGAGGGAAAAGCAAACTGGGAGGGGGAGCAGAGGCGACATCTTCCACCTGAAAATGCTGAGGTAATTTGGATGAAATAAAATCACCGTTTTTGTGGGGTGAATCCAGGGGT